TGAATGTTTCTGTCTAGCTAAAGAATTAAAGAATTCAGCAGGTTTTAACCTTGATCTCCCTGTAAGAAACAGCCATAAACAGGACAAAGCTATGTGTGTTCTTCTGCCCTTCCCGTGACTTTATTCCAATCTCTTCCATTTTCATTGGCTTCTTCACACACTACTTCCTCCTTGTTTATTCTTTTTTTCTTTACCGTCTTGTCCTTCCTTTGTCCCACACTCTTCCTGAAGAGTTCCTTGTGCTGTATAGAAGCTGCATCCTCCTTGCAAAATTAAGGGTTGTGTATGTGCAATGTGAACATACATATATTGGAACAAAGCACGACCTAAACTATTACCTACCAATTTTTTAATTAGCCATAGAAATTTTATAGACTACCATGAAGTTTTAATGGGACGATGAATGGATTATTTATTCATGGAGTGAGTAGATTTTGAGGATCAGAAGATGGGCAACTAGAAGGAAAAATTTCCAAAATATAAGTTTAAACTTCATTTTGTCAGTCGGCCCTAGTTCAGCACTTTCTCGTAGTCACTGCTGAAAGACTTAGCAGCCAGAGGAACGCCGCGGTATGGGCTATATGATCCTACCCTGTGGCTCATCATGCTAAATGTGAGGCTGGGTTCAGAAATGAAGCTTGAGGCTTTCCCTACTTGTGTAACTCAGCTAGAAAACATTTTGATGGTTGTCATTTTAGGTTCTCCAATCCTATATTGTGGCTAGCTGAGACTTTAAACTGCAATTTATCACTAAAAAAGCCACCTGTTGAATCTCAAGTGACTACGTTTCATTTTCCAAATTTAGTGCTCTGATATAAATAAAAGCAAAATGAAAAGAAACCCTAAAGTCTCTTATTTTTAAGGATGTTCCAATAGCTCCTTCAGAGGAAAGCTCCTGAGTTGGAAGGGCAAGAGTGAGAACAGATACGGACAAGCTGTTCCTGTAAATGAGACACCAAATGAAACTTGCTAATATTTAACCTGAAGGGCTACTTTACTTCAGAAACCGATTTCCATGGAAAAAAGAGTAAGATAATCACTTCTGTTTCCTTTGCTGTCCTCATCAAAGCCATATTAATTGCTATGCTATTTTGAAGCCTAACTAGTTTCAAGTTCATCATAAATTATGTCTCTGTAATAAAACTTCTGAGTCATAAACACCAGCCAATATTTTTTCCTGTTGTCCATTAAGACACTGATTTCTTTCCCATTTTTTTCCCTTTTGTGATTTATGCCTTGAAAGATGCTTTGCTTTCCTACGAATCCAGCTGCTGTGGTGAAAATGTTACTGTATTCTGACCCTCACGTTTTCAAAAGCTGAAGCAAAATACTACAAGTGCTGCTCAGTGTATTTTTAATGTGATAAAAGGATCCGTTCTCACCATTAGAGGATCACACCACAAGCTGACCTCCAAAAAAATCAGAAGCAGCAGTACCTGCTAAAAAAACAGGTTAAAAAAGTAATAATTCCAAGAAATCATTCAGTGATAGCAATTATCAGTCTATTTAAAAATTAATAATGAAACCAGGAATGAAGCTTTTCACTTAAGTTCAACTCAGGACTGTGTAGCTCTAATTCTACTGAGTTATAATTCTACAAAATCTAATAGGAAAATTATTTCCTTGCCATCAGGAGAGATTATTGAAGAGGAATATCCTTGATGTAATTTAATTATTTCAATTATGTAATATATTGTGAAGGAATGACATTGCATTGTCTTGATCTTAAGACAGATGCTTGCTTTAAAAATCAAATTGAAAAGAAGATAATACATTATTTTATACAAGAGAATGCTTTTGTAACTGCTGGTGGAAAAAATTAGTCTTTTATGAAAGAAACCAGCTTCATTTATCAACAGCAATATGGCAGGGGAACAGGAGGAAGCACACGAGGACACTTAACCCAGTATGCGCTTCCAGCCTCCATCCACCGCGGAGCCCGACCTTTCTGCTTCAGAGCTGGTAGCTCTGTGCTTAATAGCCCTAAGTAATTCTTTTCTGCCATGAATTTTCTTTATTGTTTATGGACCTGTATAAGCTTTTAGCATCCATAAAATTCTGTGCAACAAGTTCCATAGCTGAATTAGGCAGTGAGTGAAAGTACCTCTGTGGAGTTGTTTTGAACCTGCCCCATTAATTTTGATACTCTCAGAGTTTGTACCATTAGTGACAAGGACTGTTTCATTCCCATGTCACATTCGGCTGCTGATTTCTATAACCTTTTAAGATATTCTTTTCCCTCCTCAAGATTTTTTTTTCACACTGAAAAGACCTTAGCTTTGTTTTCCCTTTGAATTTAATTGTAAAATCAGTATTATTTTTCCCTGTATGGGGAGGTTTCTGTACTTCTGGATCTCTTTCTTGCTCTTGTACCATCACCTGTATGAGCTTATCTATTTATGACATTCAGTGCCCAGATTTTGGATAATGTTCTACAGGTCCTAAAGCAGACGATGGAGGTATCAAAGATGGTAGGTGGGTGTTTTTCTTCTTTTACCACTTGTTTGTGCAAGTTCTTGCGCATAGCAGTTGTTTCAGTGTTATCTTTATCAATGGGGGCATTTGGTGCCCTGGGCGACAGGTATTATTACAGCCCAGGATGCTTTGTTGCTGAGAGCGTATGCTGTGATGTTACGTGTGTCTTGGTCGGGCAGGGTCTAGAGCTATTTACTGCATTTTAGACCACAGGGTATTTGCTACGGGATGTTTTTTGCTTTTGTGGGGTTTTTTTTGGTTTTGTTTTTTTAAATTATTGTTACTATGCAGTACATGGGTATTTTCTTGGCATTAATTGTTAAAACTCCATGATCATTTTTGGGTGTAGTCAGAGCTATTTCGGTGCTCGTAATTGTCTAGATTGGTTTTTTGGATTTTTTTTCTTCTTTTCTTACCACAGACAGTTCTTTCTCTATTTATCTACATTGAAGTTCTTCTGACATTTTAATCACTGGTGAAGTTGTGAAAGGTATTTCTGGAAATCATTGTAGTTGGCTTACTATCCCGACTAAATTAGTAACAGCACATTTTTAATCTCATTTTTTTTCCCAATTATTTCAATTATTCTGATATGCATAAGGCTCAGACCCCAGCCCTGTGGGATCCCAAGGCCAAGGCCACTGGAAATAGAGAATTTAAGCCCTATTTTTTGTTTGCTTACCAATCAGTTGTTTATCCTATTGTGTCTTTTCCTGTTCTCCGGTAGCTACTTAATCCTCTTTAGTGACGGACCTTGTCAAAAGTGTGTTGAAGAAATTCAAGCAGCGTATGTTCTTTTCCTGGATGCTCACTAGCAGCCTCACAGACCTCTTAGCACTTCATGAGCAAGGACACCCCAGTATAAAACCTGTGTTGACTCTATCCAAGCACACATTTCTCAGTCTGTTCACTAATTCTTCACTTTAGTATACCCTCTGTCAATTTGCCCAGCACAGCTGTAAAAGTCTGTTTCCTGATTCTTTCCCTCTCCATTCAAAAAATGGTGTCACATTTGGCATCGTTCATTCTCTAGCAAGCAGCCCTTGTTTATAAAGCCCTGTGCTTAAGTACTGTAACGAGGGCTCTGATGGTGCTCAACTTAATGCACAAATTAAAGAAAAAAATAAAAAAAAGAACCTAACATTAAAGCACTGCAATGCTTACAACGTGGGTGCCCACCTGCAAGAATAAACCGAAATGGAGTAAGTTAGGTGTTGGTGGGATCTTTCATATTGAATGCCTTTGGGGTGCAGCTGGGTAGACCAAATATTAAATGTGGCTTATACAAAAACATTAAGATCCTCTTTAAGGCTTTTTTAGGCCATGAGCCTGAGTAACTTAAGGTATTCATTTTCTAATTTATGCATATATAATATTCTATAATAATATATATTATATAGTACAACTATTCTAAATACCTATTTTTATATACAACATATAGATATTTTTATACAACTTGTCCTATATATATATCTTTTCTACAGACATGGTTGAGTGGTGAAACATTGGAACAGGCTGCCCAGGGAAGTGGTTGAGTCCCCATCCCTGGAAGTATTTAAAAGACGTGTAGATGCGGCACTTAGGGACATGGTTTAGTGGGCATGGTGGTGTTGGGTTGATGGTTGGACTCGATGATCTTAGAGGTCTCTTCCAACCTTAATGATTCTATGATTCTATGATGACATTCTTTCTTTCTCTAGAGAAATACTAATAATTTGCTTTGCTTTTGAAGGCTTTTTAATTGACAAAAGGCAGCGGTTATAAGCTTTGATTAAGCAGACAAAAAGCTGCGTCTACTTGAGAGACAATTCTTACTAGTTATACCACCATCACGTGTTTTACAAATGCTGACCACCTTTTTCTCCTGCGGTCAGGAGGCTGTGAGTACAGAAAGGAAAACAATTAGACTACCTTATAATACTGCTTCCCTGAGTTTGGTAAAATGAAATGTATTTTCTACTGAAGCATGACATTTGGTAATAATTTTAGTGTAATGGGAGCAAGGGCTGAATCTAAGAAAAGCAACAAGGAGTTAATTATGGCTTATCACTTTTCAATCTCATCTGTCAGTCATCTATAAGGAATTGCTATGTTCATCATTAAGTAGCCTGATAAATAGCTTGGTTTAATTTTGACCCACTTTATTTTTTTAGGGGTAATTTTTCATGTCTTACATTTTACATTATCTGTTACTGGGGTTGACATCTAAGCAAACTGATGCAGTAACACTCAATAAGCGGTAACTTCTGCGATGAGCTCTGAATACATTGAACTTCCCTTTTCCGTTGCTGGACTATCCCTTAGATAGACTGCACTCACGTTGCAGAAGGTCATTGCACAGTTCAACGGGGACAGAACTGATACCAAAAAAATACTAATTCTAACCTGCCCAAGCATTTTTCAACCGACTGGCACGGGAGAATGGTACTTGGTTGAGGAGGACTATTGCGGGTGTCTGTTAAGGTGCCACCTACTTATTATACTGACAATTACCAAGAAACAACAATGCAAATATTTCTTTTTTGACAGGTAACTTTATTAATAATGATCTTGGATCTGTCGCACCTACCAGGTGCCAGTCTTTTTTCACACTCTGCAAGACTTTCTGAAGAATAAACTAGAAAGGCATAAAGTTAGTTGAAGCTACTAAGACACACATTTGTAGGTGGGTCTCTTTTGGATTTTTTTTCTTTTAACACAGAAGTTTACATGAATGTGTGTCAAAAAACTTAAATACATTGAGAAAAACAGTAGAAAGACAATATTTACAGTCAATTATAATGGGCACTGCCAACATATCCAATAACAAAAATAAAACAAAAACTTTTTTCATGTTTCTTTCATGCTTTTTTTCACAGAGATTTTTAAATATGATTTTGTTTTTTAAAAAATACAATAAGGAAATAATTACATTCTTAATATGAGAACATTATCTTACAACGTACAGCCTGGGCCAATTAATTTGAAAGTGTCTTTAACAAAAATTGATACTAAATTAAGTATTCTCCATTTGAAAAATCAAATTGCCACAATCATCTCATTAAAAAAAACACCGTTGATCCCCCAAAGTTATGATCTGTTTTTTTTTTTAAAAAAGCATCACCAATAAAAATACAATAAAAAAAAGCACCTGGTACAGTAACAGGAGTTTGCTGAGGAAGCACAAGTGTAACATTTTCTTAAAAGATATAGAAACGCAATGGTTTAAAATACAAGAGTTTTCCTTTAAAACAAAAGTCATGCTGCTCTATTGCTGACTTTGCCTGGTGATCCTGAAATCTCAAATTGGTGAAAATACAAGTTCTGTCGCTTTTTATAAAAAATTGTACAGCAATAGTACTATTCAACAAAACGGAGTATATTTCACAGCACCAAATGTGGTCTACAGAGAGGTTATTTCCCGAGGTTTTTTTGTTTTCCTCCTTTCAAAACCTTGGCCATCATATAGAATAGACATGTCACTAATGCAAAGTGTGATGGTACCAACGTACTTATACATTAGAGACATACAATTACAATACGTGCCGGGTTGGGGGCGAGGGGGCGGTGGTGGCTTTACGGAGCCTTTGCTGGAGGAAGGGTGAAAGATGCTTAATTTTGCTGGCAGCCCCTGCTGCAGCAGGCGCTATAGGTGCCGAGGGCGCTATAGGTGCCAAGGGTGCTATAGGTGTCGAGGGCGACTGGCGTCTACAGCAGAGCAGAAGGCTGCGGCCCTGTGGCTGGGGTTCTGTGCATGGCCCCAGCACCATGCGATTTCTGTTTGCTTGGACAGAAATTTGCACACTTCTATCTCAGGCATGGATTAAAACCTGTCCTTGCCAAGGATTTTTTTTTTTTCCCATTGGATATAGGGGGTGGAAGATACAATGCCAATATTGGGTAAACAAGACAAGTGATTTGGCTTTTGACTATTCTGCATTACTTGATGCGGGACCACTTCTTAATGGCAACTGATACATCATTGCAAATGTTGACTAGAAGCCTAATTTGCATCATAAATATGTACAGATATAAATTAAATATTTATTGAAATATACAAATAAATAACTTAATTTGAAATAAAAAGCCTAAATGAACTTACTTTTGCTTCAAATTTGTTTCTGCTCATATTTATGGGAACTTGATACTGTTTAGTGCAGAATCATACAGCACAGAATGTGCCCTCCACTTATAGAGTTAGTAAGTAAGCAGATGACCTAAAATAATATAAAAAAATCCCGTTTTCAGTGAAAACCACACTGACACTTGCTTCCCTACTGTATCTGCATTCCTGCGGCACTTTGTACAAAGCATAGTCCCAAGAAGCAAAGAGCCTTTTCTCATTTTGGGCCCCGCTTCTACGCTGCTGAGGTCGATGGGATCTCTGGCACTAACTGCATCTGGGAACAGGACCTGTGTCTTATCAACCATCAGGTTTTTCTGATAGCTCTGTGCCTTCAAATCCCACCAGCTCCCGCAGGAAGTCCTCTGGCATCCAGCTCAGCTGGGAATCCCAGTGTACCCTTCAAGAGTTACACACACCTACTCCTAAAGTTAAGAGACAAACTATAAGCTGGGCCATAAAGGGATGTGATCCTTGATACCTGCTGTGGTGCCAACTTCTGTGGTTTTAATTGCAAGTCTTAAATAATTATCAAGACTCCAGCCCTAACATCTGTGATTATTTCAAAGTATGAGTAGTGTTTTAATTTTTTTAATTAAAGTGATTTTCTAGTCCTCACCGTTGACGAGGAAAAAAATCTTGAGAACGTGATTGAAGGCTCTCCAAAGGCTTAAAAAAACCACAGAGAAAAAATTAAAAGAACCCAATTCGTTATGTGTTTTTTTCCCCACTCTCTCTCCTGACTTTTTAAAACCAATCTTGAGATTTTGAAGGACTTCAGTTGGCAATTTACTGCATGTAAGTTCTCAGGAGTGACATGGATGGAGACAAAGAAGAACAGATTTCTGTAATTTTACAGACTAAAATGCAAGACGCTGTTTCCTAGTAAACAGAAATTGGCTCCTGTCTAAGAAAATCCCCAATTCTTTGTAAAATTGTTTATAAAAGAGTCTGGAAACTATCATCTTTTCAATCCATCTTTCTCAAAAATAATAGCTGAGGTCTGAAAAGACGAAGGAAACTAAGTACAGCAGTGTTCTATAACTCAAGAATAACAATACTATATCATAAAAAACAAAACAAGACTGACTGCGTAAGCTATTCTGAGTTGCCATTATCTGTTGAGGATTAATTTCAATTACGTTTTCTTTTTCTAAAAGTATAGAAAAGAAGCAGTATCTAAAAATACCTTTTGCCTTTTAAAAAAATCAGGAACAAATCATAGTTCGACAACATGACCTTAGAAAATGACTGGTGCTTCGGAATACTAATAACGAGAATGTACTAAAATGGTTTTTTTGTTTTTCAAAGTATGGCAGCTTTTTATCTCCCAATGACAAAAGCATCTGTCTAAATAGTATCCAAAAAATGCTTCACAGCTGAGTCGTGTCATCCCACAGTTTCGCACCAGCGTAGAGGACAGCGGCACTGAAGAGCTCCTGCCTTCTCGGCCAAGCAAGCCATGCCATTTCCGTGAATACATTTCTTCAGTTTTCTTTTGCCACGTGAACCACTAACAGCACGGTGACTGCTAATGAGCAAGACTTCACTCAGCCACCTCTGTGGCAGACCTCGCAAAGTCAGTTTTAACCTGTAAGAGTACTTCTTATCCATAATGATTTCATATCGGTCTTAACGCACCAGTCTTCAGTGGTGTTCAGGCCACCTGATGCGATATAATTAACATTGCTGGTCTATGCTGTTTCAGCAAAGTAAACTTTCAACTGTGACTTTATGCTCCTTTTTACTTACTATGGTTGGTTTGGTTTTTTTGGTTTTCATTTTCTTTACCAGTGAAGTTGAAAATAAAGAGTTACGGCTAATAAAAAGGGGCACACGTAGTTACACAGCAATACAGTAGAGGGAATACAGGCAAATTAGCGCCAAGCTACCATTAACCTAACAGAATTAGAAAACCTCTTTCTTACGTTGTATCGCTTGATACCACCTTTCAGATCAGTCTTTTGCAGCCTATGTCTTGGTCCATAACAGGTAAGGCCTTTATGGAAAGTGAGTGGTTTTGCTATATTTATGTTCCATTTTTCATCTCCCATTCCTGGAAGGGGGGGAAAAAAAGATACAGAAAGTGTTGGAGAAATCAGGATATTTCACTGATGTCATCAGATCAGCCAAAGCCAGCTGAGGTCAGTAACAGTTTTTCCATTGAACATTTCATTGGATCCAGCCTTCTGCCCACAAATTAGTTAGGGAATGCTAAGAAGTATGTCCTGATAGCGTCTGTGCGCAGCTTCCACCCCTCCGCAACTATATATGGCAACTTCTTCTCTAGCGCACTACAAATAAGCCAAGTTTGTTTTCTGCAAAGGGTACTTATGGAGCAAATTCACACACCACAGTTGGTCTAAAGCACTCAGCTGGAGCTGAGTGAGAGGCTGATTTAGCATATAGGGCTTTCTAACTTACTTGCATGAGACAGCAGGAAGCACTCAATATCTCTCATAGCTGACACCAAGTGATTGCTTTACTACTCTTCAATTTTTTATTATAAAACTCATGGCAGACACACGTTTCTATGGCTAACAAGGGCAACTTACTGAGGTAGAGAGACTTACAGGCAGGGTAAAACCAAACAAGTTAGTTTACATTGCATTTGTTTCCCGTATACATAATCGAAGTTGAACTATTGCTCAGCAAGTTAAAGAAATCACCTTGCCTTTCCATGCCTCAGTTTCCCCACCTGTTAGCTGAGGACAATGACACCTACCATCCACAGCAAAGCACAGAATCTATAATGATTTCATCCCTAGATCTCAGAGCAAGGTATTGCCATTTCTTCAGCCACATAAGTGAGAATTGTGAGATAGCTATAAACCCAGTTAAATCAGACTTGTGGCTATTGAGTGATACCTACAGTATTTCCTAACACTACATAGGAGCAGAAGAGCTGAAGAGGGATGGGCTCAGCCTAGGACATCCGTACTGTACCTACTCCCTGAATCACACCCTTACAGTGATCAGAAAATAATGACGATATGAAGGACTTGGCCCCTCGCTGAAGTAATCCCCGTGGAGCAACCGCCCAGCTGTTCCTAGCCAGGCACTGGGTCTACAGATTCCTCTCCCACCCACTATCATCTACTCTGCAGAGATAATCTGCAGGCAGCCTGCTGACTTGGCTCCCAACCTGAATTCCTGAATTTAACACTCATTCCACAACATTTAACAGCTCTGACTGAAACCTGTTACTTATCCATGTAAATATCTATTTCTGCTGCTCAAAGCAGTAATAGCATTAGTTTGGCTAAACAGCTGCACGATTATGACACCTCTTCAACCATTGTAAAGCAACAGTAAAGGTCACAGTTGGTGGCTGCTTTAGCAACGTAAGAAAAAAAATCTTGGGTTTAAAGCAGGTTGACAATAGTTTATTTTTTTTTTCTTTTGTGGGCTTTTTTTTCTTCATTTAAATGGTACTTTTATTAAAATACAGTATGTTTTAAATATTTGGTTTTACACTTCAAATTATGGTAAACCTAAACTTAAAACACAGTATTGGTAAAAACTAAATTACTTTAAAATGGATATTGAATGTATATTCTTTATGTATACGCTGCCAAAGCTCTAAAGGAAGTTGTTGGCTAAGCAACTGGGAGGAGAATTTTTCTAAGTGTTAAATAAGCCTTGAAAGCAGTAGCTTCTTTTGCAGGTGCAGAAGGAACTTTTTCTTTGTTTCCATTTCTCCAGCAGGTTCACACCAATGAAAGAATGTTTAAGTCAACACTGACAGCCTGACCGGGAGCTGGGAAACTGGGAGAGCTCCTTTTCTTCTCCAGTCCCTGAACATAAGCAAAATGTAAGCTGCTGACATTCACCGGTCCACCAGTTTTGAAAACAGATCAGAAATGCGCATTGCAGTTTCCCTGCTACACATAAAATTTAGTTTTAGAAATTCATTTGAAATGTGAAATATTTAAATAATTGTTTTTCTTGTACAGCAAGGATATTTGGGGTATTTTACTTCTCTAGGAATGCTAATGCATAATATTGTTTTCCACGTTTTAATACCGTCTCCATTTCCAGCCAAGTAGAGATTAACAAAATTGCACTTAAAAAGCCTTCTGACTTCTTAAAAATATGCATTATTACTTTCTAAAAAAAAAAAAAAGCATGTTACAAACAGAAAAGTTAAAATAACCCAAATACATGTATGCATATATGTGTATACGTAAAGTATATGTCCTACACAGTCAATCCCCAAATTGCTGCTAGTTCTTAAGATTTAACACTAGATCCGTCCTCTTGCTTCTCTCTGTATTTCCCTCTCGTGTCAGTGCATCTGAGAGGAGAGAGATTTTGGTGGAGCAGCTTCCAAACCTGCTGTTTCAGGTGCCTCGCCTCCCCTCCGAGGCATTGCTGTGCCATACAGCTCTCAGAGCAGGCTGCACAGTGCACACATTTTGCAGCAGCAGCTGCCCTAGCAGAGCGCGGCGCAGTGCTGTGAGCTCACGACAGTGACATGAGGGTGGCTGCAAACACAAGGCTGGCTGGTGACAGACTCGGCATCCTTCGTGCAAGGAAAGAGCAAGAAGGGAGGCATTCAGTGCATTCAAATACATACTGGGGAAAAAAAATAATGTGCCATTTTGAACACTTATACAACTCCCTCATAACATTGGGAGCTTTGCCAGTTGCTGAAGATGCAAGCGTTAGCACGACCTGAAACCTGTTTCACGCCCACATATTACACTGACATCCATGCGTGGAGAGCCAAGTAAGTTCTGCTCTGGGATACTCACGTGTGACGCCCTTTCTTTAGCCACATCTATAAGGCCTGGGCTCACGCATAACTGCAAAAGGCCAAAAGAATTGAGAGCCAGATTCCACCCTCGCATATGTACAGTTAACTCCCCCTGAAAGCGGGGTGTGCTGCAGATGCATACCTGATGGCAGACTTTGGCTGCAGCTCCTTGCGAATGGGCTGAGTACAGCTTGGGTTGCACTATGTAATTCAGCAAAATTTCACTCAATATTTAGTGTGTGAGGTTTTAGGAAAAAGCTGTTAAAGCTGAATTGGATACTTTGAGTTGTTTTTCCCAGGATGGGAAATATGCTTAGTAGCTCCATATCCTTTCTGATTAGCCTAATCTTATATCCAAGATTCCTCTGCAAAAGAGCTTGACAAACCTATCGTGCCATCCAAAGCACAGCAATACCGAACAACACAGCAGGGTTTTTCCTGTATGGTATATGCTGAGCATAAAAAATGTACTACAGCTGGAAGGTATTCTTTACACCAAAAATGTTTAGCTTTTTATAGTGCCTTGGTTTCTCCAGCTCTAAAGATTAAATGGCTGGCTTTAATGTGCCTGTCCAGTGTGTAGCACAAATTCATGCTCCCTTTAAACACGGTAGATAGATAGATAGGTAGAGCACAGGATTATGCTCCAACTGCTAGACCACATTCCCCCAAGTAACGCTGTGCTAACATGCAAATCTAAGATGAAGTGTATAGTTAAGAGATGATATCTTTATGAGACAAATGAGGGTATAATTGGAATACACTGATAAGCTTTAGAGCACATGAATCCTTCTTCAGCTTTGAAACACAAGCAGCAAACTTCGAAGTTAAATAGAACCAAAACCTATTACTCTGAGTTTAATTATTCTTATTTGAATTTAAATGAATCAGGCTAACTGGCAGAAAAAGCAGTTGATGTCCGTGGAAAAGATGGAGGAAATGGTGGCAGAAGAAGGGTGAGAAGGCTCTTGTATAAGGTACAGCGGGAGAAGTAATTCATGGCCTGGGCAATGTAGAGAGGTTAAAGGGGCTGGGGGGAGGAAACGGGAGAGATTAGGATGTGCCAGAAAACCAAATCATTTGTTGAGATGATGATTTTTCATTATCTACTACGCTTAGGTGCCAGGCTCATGCTCAGTCACTGTGAATGTATATAATCAATGAAGACATGTAACAAAAGTTACTTAAAAAAATCCCTATACAGAATACTTCATTGTTTTGAAAAAAGAACTGCACTGCATGAAAGACAAATGTCTATGATTATTATTGTTTATAATTACAATTAGCAGTGAACTACTAAATCAACAGAAGCTTGGGCCAATGCTATTACTGTCACCCTTGGTTATGTGCTGCCCACATGCTTATGTTGCTAGCAAATTTAGCCCAAAAGAATGGTCATAAAAATCTCATTTAAACTAAAGCACAAAAATTAGAAAATGCTAACAATACAAGAGGAACGCAAACTTCAGCCTGGTACTTGTGAGACTAAATTAAATTAATTCAATTTCTACTTTAAATGTACATTAAGAGTAGATACTTGTACAACACATCGTTGATTACTATAACGTAGAACTATTCTTTTCTTGCACCAGCTGGCAAAGATCAGACCCGATCTTGTGTTGTTTCAGAACACTTACTATAACAGTGTTCTTTTAACCACTTCTCTGCTACACAGATTAGTGTAACTTTAGGAATTTTAGATGGACTGTCTACACCAGAGACCACTTACCTTGCAGATTAAATCTATAAAGGAACAGAGTAAAACAGGGAATGAGAGAGTAGAGTCAAATCTGTCTCCCAAACTCCTTACCAATTCTGCAAAAGGTTTCCCAACATCAACAGTATTTATGTAGTAATACAAATAATTTAGATATGGTGCATTCTCTTCTTAAAGCTAAATTTCACCCACAGGAGCAGCAGGAACCAACTTTTCCCTCTCTCCTTCTCTGTCTCTGTCTTGCCACAAGCAAGTAAGATTTCTTTAAAAGTAAGAAAAAGGACAGACAAAGAAAACTAGACATAAGCCTTCTCACCTTTGCTTTTCGAAGGACGTGGCCTCGACATGGAGAATTATTTGCCGAGGGAGGTCGCTTCAGAGCTGCTGCGCTGTTCACAGGTATTGAGCATTCAGTATCACTGGTATCACAACTGGAGATTGGAGAGTTTTCCAAAGTTCGGTGCTTGAAAATTGGAGACTAATAAAGAGTGAAAACCCTACATTGAGTTTCCTTTGAATAGTCACATGAGCAATATTTTCTATCTAGACTTAGAACTGCAGATTTTTTTTTAAAGAAACCATATTCATAATCATGATGGATAAATGAAAAAGGTTAGAACAAAAGAAAACAAAGCAAAGTGTGTGTTCTGTGATGAAAATTCAAGTTTGTTTTCTGGGATTAAACAACACTGGGTCATCTGGAGGAATTGACGCATCCCTCTGATCCTTCTGATGCAGCTACCCAGTTGCTTCTGACAGATCCACAGCATGAGCAAGGCCTGCCATGCTCCATCGTGAATGTGTGAGATGCAGCCCTTGCAAAGGGTGACAGTGACTGATAGGGGACTGACACAAGTAGGTCTCCATCACTGCACGATGACTTGGTGCATTTAAATCTCCCTGGGATGGAGCAATGTCTCAGTTCATGCACTTTTACAATCACTGAGGACAATGAGGTGTCAGCTTTTGCACATCATCCTAACACATACTGCCTGTGATTCCCATGTCTACCTGCTCCCCGTTGCTGTAGAAAGTACAGCAGATGTAGGTGAAGGCGGCAAATAATGCAGAAAGGCATTTAGTTCTGCTCTTATTTCCTGGGCTTAATAAACCTTTTGAAAACTCTCAGTTCCCACTCATTTTACTGGAGCTCAGAAGCTCATGGTACTGGGATTTGCGTGTTTAATGGCTTTGCATACCTGTGGGCTTGATGTTCCTGACTTGGGCTCAATAGCCAAGCCCAGTGTGATGCCACCAGCCAAGGCTTTCTTAAGGCTCTCCTTCACCTCGGTCAGTTCTAGCTCCAGGTTTACACGCTCAGCCTCCTTCTGCTTACACTCCTCTTCCAACTTCTTTAACTTGTCTTCAAGAATCACTTGGGTCTTCCTGCCTGTCATCCACAGCGATGTTATTATTTCAATAAGAAGCTTAAATTGACACTTACAGAAATTATTTTCTTTTTAAAAATGTAAGGAACAAGGTCGCTAAAAATCAGTGACATCACAAAAAAGTTACGTAATTTGCAAAAAATACTTTTTTCATGTAAAAAGTTTAGCAACAGAAATTAAATGCTTTCTTTCAGGTCCCTTCCCTAGGTTTCTGGTCTAGTTTCAAATCAGTATTTGTTCTGTTATTTTTCCATGTAATGAAAATATAATTAGCCAGTCACACAAAATTATTCTCATGTTCTACTTGTCTGAAGTCCCCATCAGTGTAATTTCATAGAGGGGATATATACACACACACACACACACGCACGCGTGCGCGCGCATATTAAAAAAAAGTGTATAAAATAAGTATATACACCTATACATATATAAAATATAAATATATATATTTATACTATATATTTTATAACTATATAGAAAGCAAATATAGACATTACAGACTATTGTTTAACATCAAAACCAAACCTCATGTAGTGGCATGTCTTCAGCACAGAATACGGAGCTATTTGGATAATTAAGCCTACCCAGGGCAGAATTCAGCACAAAAAAGCACCTCATACCAGCATTGACTTCAATGGCAGCGCGTAGGTCTTTTCTTTCTTTTCGGAGCTGGGCCAGCCTATTCCGGAGCGCTTCTTTCCTCTTTAGCAGCTCCTCCTCTTTGCTTTGTAACCTCTTTGCATCTGCCTCCACACGATTCTTGCCATATTTGTACTGCTCTGCATCTGTATGTATTGGATTCTGGTTATTTATGGCTAAATTAACAGTAAAACTCTAAACTATTCCCTGAGACTGAACATCACATGAAGCATTTCATGGTTTGAGAAACCAGTTAACCACCCCTCTTCCACCGACTTTTTCTCAAGGTCTGTGATTCCCACTGAGTGCTGAAGCACAGCTTTGGAAATGATACGGGATAGATTGTTTGTTCTCTACATTTAGACGGGGAAGATGAGAAATACCAGTCACCTTATAGTGCATTGGCTTTGAAAAATGGCCTCGCCTTTCTGTGTAGTTCAGAAGAAGGAAAGGAGGCTCCCCTTTATCTCTGAACCCTTGATTTTTAATTGGAAGGGGTCAGAGGAAAAGCTACCTGTTTGCCCTTTTTGCCTGGTTTCCATTCCTACTTCTAGTACTTAAAGCACACGTCTTTTCTCACCTGACGTAAGAGAATACAATGATGTTCTCAGTTTTTTGATACTTGAGAGTTTTTCTTTTTTTTTTTTTTAATTTCCCATATAAATGCTTTCACTTCATGGCTCACATGTAGCTGTGTTCTAATTTACATCACAGTCCCTTCTATACCTCTGCTCCGGTTGCAGACTCAATGAAAATAGGTCAGGTAACACATCACTCTGTCTGCACATCTGAAGGCAAAGTCAGCTGCACTAAACCATTCCTGACAATTAGTTGTCAGACCAGTTTTAGTCAGTCTTTAGTAACCGAGATGCCTTTACTCCCACAACTACCTATTCCAGTACCAATTGACCTGCCTAGTTAGAAAGAGACATACTTTTTTTTTAAAGTCTAACCCAAATTTCCCTTACTGCCATTAAATCCATGACTTCTTAAAAATTTATCACGGGATCAAAAAAACCACATTCGCTCCTTCTCTAGAAGAAGCCATGATTTTTAATCCATATTTAAAAATATGATTATAGCTCTTTTTTGTCCTTTCTTCTTTAAGCAAAGCAATCCCTGTTAGGAATTTCCTAGAGGCAATCCACCTGCCCAGAAGAACCCTCTTTCTGAACGTGCCACTTGCCAATTGAAATCTCATCTCTCTGAGGAAGTTTTTGAGCTGTATGGTTGTCTTCATCATTTTGTTATACCTTTTCTTTTTCATTAGTGATAAGAATAATTCCACTTTTGAGCAACATAATGTCCTCATGTCTTTCCCAGCTCCTCATCCTCCTCTTCCAACAGGAATACAGAATTGCTCTCTGCCCCAAATGAAGAATCATTACCCTTTTTTTTTTTTCCTGCTGCCCTCATGACTTTGCAGCCACAGGTCCACATTTCATATTTATCGTTCTCCATATGACAACCTTTTATCTCGTGGCATGGCTGGAGTGCTGAGTCACCAATGCACACAATATCTCCTATTCAAAGTCTTGGTGGGCATCTCCTGCTCAGCCTCTCAGCCACAGAAGAACCACAGTGGTCCTTTATCTTGTTTGCTAAGAAGACAGCTATTTTGGGGAGCCTCATGACTCCACTCACAAGTGAGGCAGCAGTGAGGAGAAATACTTACTGGATGCGGTGCGCTTCACACATGACACCGATTCAGATTTCTTCGGCTGGCTATTTAAAGTTCTCCCTTTTCCGGTGATCCCATTAGCAGTCGCAGGAGGCTTCTTGCCTTTAAACTGTTTGAAAACAAAAGTACAGATGGGCTCCAGCTATTCCTGTGCCACTGGCATTACAGTCACCCTTTCATCAAGGGCAAAGCTTGACAAAAAGCTGCCTGCTCGGAGAACCTTAATAGAGCGCATTGATTGAGCTGGAGACAGCGCTTCCTCCAGAGATGTTGTCTTGAGAGCTGCCTGCTCAGCGGAAGCCACACCAGCAATCACAGTATTAGAAGGGGATGAACTCCCCATCTCTGGCGGCATCACGGTCTCCAAGTTATTTAAAACTCTGGCATTTACTATATTAAGACAGCCATCGCGAGGCAGAAAAGTTGTACCTTTGAAACACAGGTTTGTCAGAGTTAATTTCATACAGAAAAACCCAACAGGGTTTGCCACACAAAAATTCAACACTGTTTCTCATTTACTATATGACCTTGCCATCCTTGTGGTGCATGGATTTTTTTTTGCAAAACAATATAATTATTACACATTTTTAAATGTTAGGAGTTAACATATCAATTTCCTCTTATACAACCTCTAGCTACTAATTAAAAGTTTTTCATACTTAAAAAAAGCAACCTCTCATAATGGCCAGGCAAACTCACAAGATTACCAGAAACAGCACATTTCATGTCCAAGGGGTTTCCATTTAGAGGGCTCCCCTGCAATGAACTGAACCCTGGGAAGAGCAACGCTGTCCTGACTAATCGTAGTGTTTCCACGGGGGATGCCTTAGCTGAGCACAGGGCATAGGTGTGCCACGCTCTGGTCACCTGCTTCCAAAAGCTTTTGAGGACTGAACCGGGAGTGCAACAAGAAGCCTGCAGCTGCAGCCAAGGATTAGGGCAATTTATTGCTCGGGTCCACCTCCGATTCTGCAAGTCCACTGAATTCTAATATTCCAATATGAAGTTTTTGTAAGGGTTAAGTGAGTTAACACACAATATGACAGGTACCTTATACAAGGGAAACACTTATCGAACTGTTCCATTTCAGATTAGATGGAAACCCACCCATCTTTGTGATACATTCACAGGTTTATGCCAATGACCAGCTTTTGCAGACTGGCTATGGGCTCTAAAGAAGGTCCCTGGCGTGGCTGTGAGCAAGGCTTGCTCTGCCCCCCTGCCGGGGTCTGCCTGTCTGCTACTGAGGCTGAGCACACAGGATTTCATCTGCTCTGTAGCTTCGCATTTCAGCTAAGGTCCAGAAGCCTGAGACCACCCTCAGAAAGCAGCATAGACATAGGCTTAGTTTCTTTGCAGGGGAAGAAAATAACAGGCAGTAATTTAAATATGGTATATACACACTATATACAATATCATTTAGTATATATAAAATACAGTATATGTTATGATATATATATGCATATTCACAATATCTATAACCATAGTATATACAATATACAGATTAGTAAAATTCTAGAGAGGCAAATTTGCTCTCACAGCCAGGTCATTTTTCACTTTTCTTTTTTTTTTTTTTAAGTCGTCACTGCCTAAGGAGACAGAAGGTGGCTAGATATGCATTCAGGTTAAGTTTGGAAGGCCACATCTATTTTTTTGTTATTATCCACAATCTGTAAATCATCAAGAACTTGTGGGGAAAGCCTTTCCCAAGTGCCAATACTTTCACATCAGAATTTACAACTTAGCAAATCTGTTTCATTTGCAGTGGACTCATGACTAAACTCTAAGCACTTCAGTGCTAACACTAAGGGACTGAAATAGCCCAACGCCCTTTAGATAACAACCAGATAAACAGAACAGACAAAAAATAAAAAGCTTTGTTAAGTATTAAATAGTACAGTACCTGCGAGCCAGATCCCCTCCCCACAGCAGAGGTATTAGTGACAGACTGAGCAGAAGACAGATTGGATGAGACAGGGTATTTGTAATGGTTAGAGGAGAGTTTGTCAGTAGATAACCTATTGGGTTTTCTGTCAGCTGGCGGATAGCGCGCAAAGATTTTTGGAGACGGCAAGTTATCGTACAGGCCTGCGTTATCATAAAGCATTTCTTCTCCAATGTTCCTGCTACGAGAAGAAGGAAAGCCATCTTCTGGTTCCCACTGCAACACATACACTTTGGCAGTTAGTAAACAATATACCATGCAGAACCTCCTAAGTGAAATTAAAACATTAGTAATTCTTTTGACCATAGCAAGCCCTCAGTGTTTAGCAAGCATATGCTTATTGCTTACACTTGAGTCAAACTATTTAGAAAGTGGGGGAGGACACAGTGTGGAAAGGAAGCATTGCATTACACAGCTCATAGCCTCAGTCCTGTGCATTTTCCACAGTATGAGCAAACGGGTACTATCCTATCACCCTTGCTGTTTCATAGACTGCACCTTCAGTTGTTAGCTCTAGCACTGAGGGGGCACAAGCAGACTGTGTTAACAGGGGGATACTCACAGGCTGCACAGATGAATCTGTGGGATTACATCTGGTACATGAGTTGTTAAAAGTAATTCGGCCTAACAGTTAGCAGAAGCCAAGAGGGTTTTTTCTTTTTTTTTTTTCTTCTTTCTTCAGGCTATATGTCTTTCCAGTGAATACCAGCTGCTGGTATGCTAGTATTACGTTTTATTTGCTGGAGAATTATTATTCTGAGCTAACCAGCTAAAATAGCTACAGGCCATTCTTTTTTTTTTTTCCCCCCTTCCCCCCCCCCCCAGAAAAATTGAAAGCTCAACAACAATACTCCAGTGATTCATTCAATTAGTCTTCAAAGAAACCAACCTGGTTGGCAAATACCCTTCCTTAATCCGTCCTGGCTGTGGCAGGGCACTACTCATACAAAGGCTTGAGCACATCCAAGAACTACACATACAGACTACTCACCACACATGTGGTCGTGTCTTCTTCCCAAGAGGGGTTTTCTACCATCTTTGTGACATTACTAAGACATGATGGAGGACTGAACTTGTGGTCCACTTAACACTTTGAAACTCTGAATTTCTCTTGAGTTCAGCCTTTCTGAAGCAGCCCAAATTAAGAGCTGACACAGGCTGTAGCTCCCCTGTAAATTTTCCTGAGGACCACATATTGCTATGGGTTAACATCCACTATGTGTTAAACCCTATTACACATCTGCCTACGATCAGCTCTGCAATTTACCAAGATGGAAGTGACCACTGTGGTTCTCCTTTGGGATGAGCAGTACCTGCCGTCATCACGAATGCAGCCCCAGGGACTGAGAAGTGTTTTGGTTTTGTTTTTTTTTCAACAGACACCACGAAGTGCCTGGTGTAACTGAGTCCTTAATTTTGCCAGGTCCGGTGTGATCTAAAAAATACCCCCTCAAGTGAGTATTATATTCAAGGACTTGGCAACAAATCATCGACAGGCAACTGCTTTCTAAATGCACGTTGGCTCACATGCAGGTTAATGTAAACAGTATGTCCCACACCCCTAATACTCTGTAGGTGTGAGAGAAGTTTGCAGCCTCCAATCAAAAAAAATAGGAGTTCATTTGGAAACTAACCAGTGGGGCTTTTTAGATAATATAATTTTCAGATGTCCATGCATTCAACACATGCAAACCATTTGTTCTGTGCAAATTCAGTTCTTACCGATCCATTTATGCAGGGAACATCATCATAATGAAGTGCCATTCCACTCGGACAGGCGTAGCCATTGGCAGTGCTTCCCCGATACGGATTTGTAGATATAACTCGCCTGTTCATAAAACTGAATAAAGCAAAATAAAAATAATAAAAACCGGTGCTTGAACCTAAGTCTAAATGATGATTCAGCGGTATGTTCCCTGTATCTGATTATGTAGCCTGGAAGCACATTATCTTCTCACTTTCTGCAGGAAAGCTGGGGACAGTTTTCCTTCTTTTGCTACTCACATGTTGCTGCTAGCAGCCAATATTACAATACATGCTCCTGTGCTCCATTCTTACAGTGGGGATAAGACTGTATGAAAGCCAGGAGGGCAACAGCTGTAACTGCTCAGTGGCATGTTTACAGGGGAACCTGCTGATCTGTGTTTTAAACCAGCTTTAAACCAGTGTCCCATAAAAGTTCCCTTGTCTGCATCGGGGAGAAGCAGGTGTTTCTGGGTGCATGCATGTTCAAGGGGGATGCGAACTTAGGAACTGGGAGAAACAAGAATCAAATCCAGCAAAAATCTGTAAAAAAATGGAACTTTGACAAAATCTAAGTTCACGTATCTATCAAAATTTGCTGAATATTTTCTTGCTCAAAATCTGGCAATTTTTCATTACCGTATCAGAACTTTTGTCTGGGCAGAGTGTGCACGATGGCACTATGCATCCCAACTCTCTGTCTGGGTAATTGTGCATACAACTACTCATTCTTGCGCTGTTTCACAAAGTGGATCTGAGCCCTCTGGACACTTCAAAAGGGATATATCCCTTTATAAAGGGATATATATATATATGAACAATATATATGTAGAATCATAGAATCATTTAGGTTGGAAAAGACCCTTAAGATCACCAAGTCCAACTGTAAACCTAACACTACCAAGTCCACCACTAAACCATGTCCCTGAGCACCACGTCTACACATCTTTTAAATACCTCCAGGGATGGTGACTCAACCACTTCCCTGGGCAGCCTGTTCCAATGCTTGACAACCCTTTTGGTGAAGAAATTTTTCCTAATATCCAATCTAAACCTCCCCTGGTGCAACTTGAGGCCATTTCCTCTTGTCCTATTGCTTGTTACTTACATATACTGTTCCATATACTGTTACATATACTGTTATATATATATATGTATGTTTGTTTGTTTGTTTGTTTCCCCCCCCTCCCCAAAATCAATATTGCAGCTTGTTTTACTGGAATTGTGCAGAACACATGCAAGATACCACGGACTACAACGGGCTTTGTGTTGGGAGCAAAGATCTAACAATGCAGAAAATGGCAGAATCAGGCCCAATAGCAATGACAACCCCAAGGGTGTTTTCCTTTCTAGCAACTGCTGAAATTGAACAATATATAGAGTGAGACCCCAAATAATTTCTATAGAATCATAGAATAGTTTGGGTTGGAAGGGACCTCTAAAGGTCATCTAGTCCAACCCCCCTGCCGTGGGCAGGGACATCTTCAACTAGATCAGGTTGCTCAGAGCCCCGTCCAACCCGACCTTGAATGTTTCCAGGGATGGGGGATATAGTTTAAGGTGTACATGAATGGGAAAACAAAGCTGTCCATCCCAAACAATGGAACTATTCAGACTGTGTGCTGACATTCATAAAATATGATAAAGCCCTATTAAAGCAGCGAGGGTCTTCTGTAGCGCTGGCTGGAGCTCAAGAATGCTGTGGTTTCAACAGTTGCTTTCTTTTGGCTTTGGAATAACATGGAGTCCATTGAATTTCTCATTCAGAGGGAGACAGACCTCATCCAACTGTGGCTCACCTGAGCCGGGGAAACCCGGGCTCACAGGAGGGATGAACCTGCCCAGTTCGGTGTGAACCTTTCAGGGCAGGGCAGGGGTGGAATAATCATTAGACGGAAGCTTTTCTTACTTCAAACAAACAAACAACAAAAAGCCCAAGATAAATTCCATGATAAAAATATTTTTAACTTTATCATATCTCATACTTTATTAGACATTATTAAAGGGCTGCATCTGTTTACTGTTCCTCTTAATGAAGGACATTACTCAAGTGTTTCTGGTTAGTCTGAAGGACTGCATTTGGAGCCATTATTGTATATGTTTCTATTTAAGTAGAGTGATGCATAATAACCATGTCTGAAAACTGGGATATTAATTAATGACATCTGATGCACCTGTAGTAACTAATTTCCACCACCAAAGGAAGCTGAGATTTATCTAAGTATCTGCAAGCACTTCACAAGCATTATTTCACTAAGCCTCATTAATCCTGTTTACAGATGCATCCATGTAAGTTAATTGTATTCTGAAACTGCTAGATGGGAAGCAAATGGAGAAAACTTGCTTGGAAGCATTTTTTTCTTCAGCCTTTCCTAGATATCTGATGATTTAGATGAAGAAAATTGATGGGACTATTAATGAAGAGCTGATCGTTTAGCAAAGGATCAGTCTCAGGAAACGAATAACCAATAATCCTGAAGTGACTGCGATAATCAAAGCTTCAATGATAACTGCAGTTAATTTGGAATACTGATACTCATTCTATAAAGGGCAGCAATAGTACTTTATTAACACTTAAGTATCATTGTTATTTCTCCTCATGTTCTAGGAGTAGCTGAAAATCAGCAGACAGCTACTCTAGTTGCTTATTGACAAGCTCTTACAGTCTTTTAAAGACACCCAATGAATTTTAACTAATTCTTAATAGGAGAATTCTGCTACTTTGCAAGTTGTTTGACATTCCTTGCTAACATGTGGTTTAGTTGCATGTTTTTTCACTTGGCTCCAATTAATATCACATTTGTTCAGAAAATGAAAGCCAAGCAGTATTCAGGTGGAAAAGGTTTCCACTCTATTTCTTTCTTAAATGTGGTTATTGCTAGATGCTGACTGAAGCAAAAATACATGTCAACACAGGATAAATTTTTTGAGCCCTATTAACTTCAAAACAAATATTAATGTAAGTCTGTAAGCTAAGTGCATTTTGATTCTATCAGAATGATCTGGTTTTCACAAAACTGGGCTTGTGGTAACACTGAGTCACTTTGGTTTCTATCAGAAGTCATTCAAACCAGATCCTGAATGAAGCTGCCCATTCGCTCTCATTAAAGCTCTCTTAACACCTCGCAAATGGCAGGAGAGTCTTCTTTTGGAAACCTCTGAAGCTTTTGCCTTTTTTTTTTTTTTGCATTTTCAGTCCATTTAAAGTTATGGTGGGCAGATGGGATGTGATTCTCTATTAAGTCACACGAATTCCAAATTTGTGTGGGTATTCTCATTTTGCAGCGAGATGAGGGATGACGCCTTTGCCAGCTGTCTCCTCAGGCCACCCGCTTTCTGACCCCGGGAAACCACGGGCTACGTCTGCAGCAGAGCATCCCACCTGTCCCAACTGTTCCTTCACTCCCGTTTCTAAACCACCTCATCTGGCCAAGGAAAAATGACAGTCTCTTCTCACCAAAGACTGCTTTAATGCCTAAATTGATTTGAACATGTAAAACACTATATATGCTAAGTATGCATTACTTTTCTTAGCACAGGATGAGCAATGGGGAATCCACTGTACTGATTTGCAATTTAAACAGTTTCCATGCTGTGGCCTAGACACCTTCCCAATTTCCACCTCCTAAATTAAACCCCAGAAATTAATTGGACTGGTGTGAGCTTGATGAAGTTTTTAATTAATCAAAAAAGAACTTGAGAAGGAAACACTGAGAATGTGACTATCCAAGATTTAAATTTGCTGTGCATTTTTAGTCTACACCATACATTGGCCAATATATGCTGTACATATTGGCTGTATGTACAGCAAATACAGCCAATAGATAAATGTGAGCTACGTAGTTGCATATTTATTTAATTTTCAGCATATTTCTCCTCTTCCAGGGATAGTTCTAAGTCTTCAGGCAAAATAAAATATTAAAATATAGCATTTGATAAGGAGACTTACTGAAAAAATGAGTAAAGATTTGACTAAAGTTGGATGGTGTCTGCATCTTTTACAGAACTTAGCAGGATGCCAACACGATAATCATAAACACATCTAACATGCTGCAATGCTGAAACACTTTAGGAGTTCAATATCTGGCAAAGGGGGGTGGATTTTGATAAGCTCTCTTGGCACCGGATATAAATTCTCACAGTACTGGAAACACCCGGGTAGCTGAACGCCTCTCACCAGAACGTCTGTTTGGCAGCCTGGATGACGCTTGCTGTCATTTCCACGTCGATGTAGTCGTAGTGCAGAGCACCGGGGTCTGTCGAAGACCCTGTTTCCGCAAGCAAAATTCCTATCCATCTGCCCATGTCTTCGGAGGAGGATGCCTGCGAGGAGAGGTCAAGGGCATATTTCAGGTCTTTAGTCTGCCACTGAGCTGAGCATTATTTCAAAATGGTGCATTCTTCTTGGCTGACAAATTGCTACCACATTGTATGAAAGGCTCTGGTTTCTCTCTGCTGAACTCCTAAAAACCCCAGGATTTCTTATTAAATCTGCTTTGCTAGAAGGAGTGCACTTTAAGTAAGCTATGTGGTCATCAGTTATGATGTAACATGAAATGGGCGATCTCCAAAAAAGAAGAAAAAATAATTGTTTAAGGCTAGTGGATTTAGATTCAAGTCATGCTTATTTTAGACTTCAGAAAATTGAAAGCTGTAACAGAATTATTTTCCTATGCTAGGCTGGGGGATTTTAGTTAGGATGACTCCTAAGAAGAAACTCTTAGTCCTAAGTAGAAACGAGGGGAAAAAAAAAATGAAACAGTAGAAGAAATTTTAGTGTTGGTTTTTGAAAAATTCCAATATATTTGTCTAGATGATGGCGTTTATATTCCTAATGGCACAAGTACAAACATGAATACTGTTAAAATAATTTTTATTTTTTCATATTTTGCTTCAATTCACCAATTGCAAAGTTAAACAGCAGCAAAATAAATAATGGAAAAAAGCGTGGGGGGAAGGAAACTGTGCGGTTTCTAAATTTCTTGTTCTTTTTAAATATTTCATTGCCTTTCACGGTTCCTTGAGCTGTTTTCTAGTTTTTCAACTTCTCTGCACTGCTCACATATAACAGGCAGGAGACTAACGTGACCTGCAGTTGGAAATCCAAAGTGGTCAAAGTGTCCATCCTGCCACTGAAAAGAAAAGGTTGCCTCCTCCTGTATCTTCATTATACTTGGCTTTAAGTGTCTTCTCATTTCAGCTTTCAAAATACGATGAATATGATGAATAAAGCCCCTCAGAAAATCCTGACCCACCTAACACAGATGAAGGTATGACCTTCGAAGTGCGAGGACTGTGCCAGTGTGTACACATGTGGTGTGTCAAGAGACTCACCAGGATCCTGGCACGCTCTATCTTCTTACTGCAGAATTAGCTTACTACAGATACAGACTGAGCGAAAGTGGTTCATGTAAGTAGCAGACAAATGAGAGTTAAGAGCTCTAGAGTTCCCAGCAACAGTGATCCATTATTTAATTATTGCAAAGTTATTTACCCAAAGTGATTATATCCCTGATGTAAAAGTGTGTATAGAGAAGGAGCAGGGATATTTTAGTAACAGGTCAAGGGAAGGTCAGAGAAAAGCATCTTACTGAGAAGATTTCTGAACTGCATTAAATGTCAGTTCTCTCTTTGCCTGCAAATATCTTAATATTTGTTTCTCCTTCCAGTATTTATTATCCAGCTCTGCAATAATACTATTCCAAAGATTTTTTGAATGGCCAGGTTGTATGAAAGTGCTTCTCTAATTTAGCTTGTGGGAGTTCCTACAAGTCATAGCCATTAGCAACCACCGCACCTCGAGCACAGCGACCTCCTGCCCGTTTCGGAGCAGGCGGAAGGTTAGGGGATGCTTCGAATCCAGTCCCGGGATGACTTCGCAGCCACGGAGAGGGATAGAAACAATATGTGTCTTCAGATCTGTCCTGTCCTTGTGGAAAATCAGTTTATTATCTTTCACTCTGCACCAGCGCTCACGCCAACGGTTATTTGAGAGCACGTTGAGATATCCTGCAATAAAATGAAACGTGAGATATTTTACTCCTGACTTTTTTTGAAAAGAAAAAAAAAAAAAAGGAAACTTACTTTTCAATGTAACGCTAGCACTTAAACAACTTATTCCTCTTACAATAGAAAGTCCAGATGGATTTTAGGAAGACAAATAAATGACCCTGCCCCACTTCTTTTAATGAAAACTTTCACTGTGCCAATAACCTAGAAAAAAGCATATAAAGATGTGATCCCGCTCACGTGCAAGTGGCTGTTCCGTTAGTCACTGTGGCGGCTGGATGAGCAGGAGCACACTGATCCCCAAGACTTTAGTGAATGGGAGAGGGACTGTGATAAAAAGGTACATACACAGCCAGTTTTCTCACACAGAAGACCCACCTTCTCCATATGTAATGGCTTTGATAACTGTGGCTGACCAAAATTTTCTGGGAAAATCTCAGCTCCTATTATATAAGGAGACGAGCAACCACCTGCAACAACAAAAAAAAGCAGTGTAAGAACCAACTAAGAAGCATTGATGTTATATGTTCTACTTTCGTTTAGAAAGAAGAATGCAGGTTTGGTTTGCAACGACCCACCTTCTCCATATGTAATGGCTTTGATAACTGTGGCTGACCAAAATTTTCTGGGAAAATCTCAGCTCCTATTATATAATTAGGCGATGAGCTACCTTCTGTAACATCCAAAATCAGTGTTTTAAGGACCTACTAAGCATTGATGTTATATGTTCTACTTTCGTTTAGAAAGAAGAATGCAGGTTTGGTTTGCAACACTTTTAAAGCAGAACTTAAAAAATCGCTACTGATGCCAATAAAAATAAAATTCATATTGGTTTAAAATTCAAGAAGTAAATGTATATGAAATTTAGCTAAACTTTAAGACAAAAGTTTAAACAAAGGTGGGGTTTTTTTTCCAGGGATAATACAGTACCCTTACGACAAATCAAAATTTCATGAACAAAGTGGCTTTTAAAAAAACCCGCTTCTCCTATCATGCTCTGTATCGGATACAGTGTCTAGGCATAGAATAACATTAAATGGGCACTGTTTTGTTTTTCCTTCTCTGTCCCATAGCAACAATCATTCCAGACTCAAACCTTAAAATCAAGACAATGCCCAATTTTCCTGCCTTATTTAGTCTGGGAATGAAAAAAAAAAAAAAGATCTTTTACTTCCACATTACGAACGGTACATGAATTCAGCATGTTGCTGCTTCCAAACAGGCTATGAAGACGGAAACAAATGATATCTTGCACAGGCCAGAATTTATGTAAAAAAAATTGTCTTCTATCTCTGGTCTGATTTTCATTTAGTCCTGTTGGATAGCTATCTCTTTGGTTTTCATTAAAACTATGATTTATCATTCATTTTTCTGGGTTTCCCTTCCAACATTATGGTTCCAATGGCAAAGCTTGATCCAACAGGATATAGCAGATCAGAATTGCGCACATCTTGGAAGGTGCCATAAAAAAAGGAGGATGTGCACAATCCTCTGATTTTGGCTCCTTGTGATGATCACACTCTCCAGCTCTCCTCCTTCCTCCTGTAACAAAACCCTGTATAGCTATGCATTATAATATAATCCCTAGAAACAGAAAACCCTTCACGTGCAAGCCAGCTGGCTTGTTTTGGAGTGAGAGTCCTTTTTTTCAGACAGTACTTTTCTTCCCCCTCTGCTCCCAATGCACCGCTCAGAAAAGCTCTTCCAAACCCTCCTACTTCACTTGAACTAAGCAGGATCCCATGCTTTTCCTCCCACATATCCCTACTTAAAACTTCAACAGTTTACATGACCAAAATGCCTTGAGTGTGTTCCCAGTTGGGGCATTAGCACTTCAGCTTAGCCCAGGCAGTCAAAGACCGGTGATGCTGTAGGGAAGAGCTTTGCCATGACTCTGAGTGCAGGTGGGTTTCCATCTCCACTCTAGCTGGGTGTCCCCTGCAGCTCTGCTGGGCTTTTCCCTTTGTTCATGGGAGGTGGAGCCTTTTAACGTGTACAAGCCTTCAACTATGGAGCAACCTCCCAGAGGGCATTGCACTAAGCCAAATTCCTGGTGGTGAGAAACTCCTTCTGCAAAGCCTTCCCGCAATGACCAAAGCCTAGACACTTACATATTTTCCTGTAAAATCTGCAAGTGGTGTTGAGTAGAGCCAAATGCAGGCAATAGTAATGGCTATACTTATGTCCATATCTGAAATAACGATAGAAATTCTAGGAATTAGACTGTCCAGCTGTGGTTAACGTCTCACATAATACAGAATAATCAATGGAGTATGAGACCCTGGAAGTTTGAGCTTTTATGGAAGCCAGATGCTTCAGACAATGCATCTGGCTGGACACAGCTCTTCCCAGCTGTTCTTTTGGCTGATAAATCACATCTGTACTTAGCTGATGTATAGACATATATGCACACATACTTATTTAATCAAAGATTGCTTATGTGAATAGATTCCCAAAGTGTGGCTTGAGAGCCACCTGTGATCTATGAAGTTCTTGCTGGTGGTCCATGGATCTGCTTCTTTCACCTTGGGCAAGCATCTATCATACTTCATGTACTGATGAGTTCTGCCAACTGCTGCCTAATCACAGATTTCTGGGTTTCCCAAAGTTTTCCTTGTCAATTAAAGGGGAAAAGGCAAATCCAAATTCAGAACCCGGTGCAACTGCTTCACAGCTTGCTTTCTATGGAAAAATTTTTTGGAAGGGATTGGGAGAAGGGTGGGTTCAACCTTATTCACGTATGAAAGTCTTACTTAATACTGGAGCACCAGAAGGCAAACAGGAGAATGTAAATACATTGCATTGTTTGCAAATACCAGAGCTGTGAGGACATCAGCTAAGCGCATTGTGCAAAATCCTAAATTGTGAGCAAACTTTAACAGCTAAGATACAAAACATAAGCATTTTCTGCGTGCCTTTTTCTATACTTCCTTGGTGCTGCCAAGCACTACAGCTGTCATATGGAGTGATCAACATTAGGAGTTAAAATAGCTTACTAGAAATTTGTTACTTCATTCAAGTTTTGCCCAATGTGTACCACTTTAGGAACCCACAATTAAACTCAAATCACTTTGGCTGAGGCCAGTCGACTGCTGTCTTGATTGCTGTCCCATAAAACCTCACCACGATCCATCATAAAAGACTTGATCCCTTCCCAAGAACCTTCTTCTAATTCCTAGCCTAAATTTATTTCATAGTCCAGCCTATATTCATTTTATATCCATTTGTTTGAAAACAGCTCTTGTTTCTTTCTGCTTTTTGTCCACACTTCTCTTCCCCCTCACCTTTGCAAAGAGCAATGATATGTCTTCTGAGCCTGTGCTACCATTTTATTTAAAAAGCCAAGTTCTTCTAGTCTCTTTTCAAATTATAAGCTCTTGATTACTCCTCTTTCAGTCTGAGTGCATCCTTCTGATGTTGGGGGAAGAATTATAGCAGTAAAAGCAATTTTAGAGGAATTTCTAGTCTAGAATTTTATAAAGTTTTAGTCGCAATGTGCATTTAAGACTCAAGAAGAAAAATCACTTACCACATGTTGGAACATCTTCTTCAGCTGATGAGGTCTGTTCATCTGTTGATGGCTTTTTCTTTCCTAAACCAATGATCTTCGTTATTTTTTTCCCTGTTACTTTAGTCACAGTGCCCTTGGCTTCTGATTTTGAACTTTTTTTCCTCTTCACTATTAAGAAAGCAAAAGTGTGTATTTTAGTGTGTTTAAATTAACCAATGACTAGAGAGAACCTGAATAAAAACAGTAGTTCAGACAAGCAATCCTGAGCAAGATGAACATTTGTACAAAAGTTGCAGACTGCAATGAGATAAATATTATATGCCCTCTCTAATGCAGATGCTTCTAAATAACCTCTGTGCTATAAAAATCATGGCATTCAGAAGGATAAGAAAAACAAAAATCAAGCTTCTAATTTAATTTAATCTAATCAAGCTGAAAGTCTCTTTCCACAGCAGTCATCATCTAATTTATCAGTATGACTGAGGTACCTGCATATAAATTTAGCTCATATACACAAGAATAAAAATCCAGCCAGATGATCCTTCATTGTTCCTAAACATTTACCTCAAAATACTTCAACAATTAAGTACACAACAAAGACAGAATATGCTTGCCTAGCAAAAATACTCCTGCCATGTACAATTAAGGTATCTTATAATAATGGACCTTTTAGAAAGACAAGACTTATAAATTAACTACTAACAATTAAATTAGTGGGATCAGTATAAGCATTCAATGGTTAGAAGTTGGCACTTTTTGTGATCATGAGGGCTTGGAAAAAAAAAGCTCTGCTGAAAAGAGGTATTTTGCTAACATCCAGTCTATGCTTCCATTAACTTAATACATTACTAGTAATACTACGGCTCTGTGCACTGAGGCACGTTGAGCTGCTCAACATAACATGGCAAGGACTATGGATATAATTTTTAAAAGTGCCTATCTGACTAAAATCCTAATAAATTGAAAAAAAAAGTTTCTAAGATTAAACAGAATCAGAAAAAAAGACCTTTTATTTGCAAAACAGAACAAACGAAATGAACTTTCGGAAATTGCATTCAGTGGCCTAATTTGGATTCCATCAATAGAGCAACAGTCTCTCTGCTAACTGAAAGGGCAGCAAAACCATCCATCAACTTGCCCCAATACATGATTTTGATGAAAAATACATTTAGGATAGTTACTGATTGAGCTGCTGTAACTTTATCCCTGACATATCAATTCCCTTTGCAACAGGGAACATTTAGTGGTTATGGACTTGTGTAAACTGAGGAAAAAAAAGGACAAAATGTTCATATGAGAAATGGCTATATGAACTGATGAACCGGGAAGAAGAATGCACGGGAAATAGAGAAGCAGTTTGGGACTCACAATGGGATAATTTATCATATTTAGTTTAATTGTTAGGAATCATGGAACGTTATTTAGAAATTGTATCAGTAGCCAAGACTGTACAAATCTGTCACCTGCCACATGCGGTGCCGAGGGGGAAAGGCAGCTTTTCAGGTGCGGATAGCTGTTCACCAGCAAACTCCAATACAGCGACACGTGTGCAAGCAAAGGTCTAATTCTCTCTTCCTAAGGGAAGGGTGTTCACAACTTATACTGCGCTCTCTAAACATGCAACGAGCTGCCATGTTTGAGGGAGGAAGGTCACCCGCCCCATCTGCTCATGTCAGTCCCTGCCTGAGGTAAAACCCAAAGGCAGCACCTGCCCACAGACCGGTTTCTGTCCCACGCAGCGGCAGCCGATGACCAGCTGTGGCTGTTGAGTGGGGAGGAGATGAAAAGCATTAAAAAATGCCAGAGACTGAGAAAAACTCATCTCTCTGAGACAGAAGCCCAAAGGAACCATTCTCAGGAGCATGAACAGACAGTGGAATAAGCCCATTTCAGTGCTTTTTAGTTTTTGTGTCCTATCTTCCCTTCACACTGCTGTTTTATTTTCCTGCAGAACTGAGAGGCAGCAGAAATAAGGCCTTCATGACTTAATCTTTTTGAGTCTAAAGAATCTACTGATTGCCTGACTGCCAGTGATTTTTGTCACAAAAGTATTTTCTTCTCATTTCCTTCCCTACAGCAAAACGAGCAGCTGGTTAAGAGCGGAGTAGAGGCTGGCCGTGACCGCTGGAGATGACTGCTCTCCGGAGTGTCCCTTCCCACGTACTCCCTTAAGTGTTTCCTATCCGTTGTTTAACAAAATTGTGAACCTTCATCCAGAACCACTTAAAATGATGCCAGGAATAGTTTAATCTCCTTGCAATCAATAATGCCTATTATTTTTATTACTACATATTGAAGGTCACAACTTTCAAAAGCAACTGGTATTTTTAATTACTCTCCTTGAGACATCTAAGCTGGGCTGGTTTTCCAGCAGCACATGCTCCATCAGCATGCCTCTTGTGGGGCACCTGAGCCACCAGGCACTTTTGGACATCATGGACAAACAGCTTTTGGATCACAGATGTTTCTCAGCAGGTTTCAGAGGCTAAAACAGTAGTACTATTTTTGAAAGCTTAGTAGAAGATTTTATAGGGTGAAATCTAACCATGTACCACAACTTCTAGAAACCACAAAACCTGACGTTGTTCTATACTGTTGGGTACGTCAGAGATCTGTATAGTCAGGAAATGTTGGAAAACGACCCAGGGAGAAGATAAAGGAAATGAGTCAAAAGGCGAGACAGCGCTGGCACCGAGGCCAGTATTGACTTCGTGCTCACTGCAGCTCACATTACCCTTCAGCTTGACAGCTGCAGAAAAATGTCTTATCTAAACGATACCATTGCTATACGGCAAGTTAACAAAGTCACAGAATTTCTTCCGCTTTGGGGAGCAGCGAGGGGGGTGGCGCAGAGAGCATAGGGGTTGAGTTTTTTAGATATAACTCAGACAAAATTCCCTCTGGGTTTGGGATGTGCCTCTGTTGGATTATAAGGACTACAAAACATGCATGGTTCCCAAGTAGCATATGTAAAATTACATACATATATCCTCACAAACCCACTGATATTATGTGATTATATACATTTTAGTATGTTAATATAAATAATCATACATAATAGTTTATATATCTATGTATCTGTGTATACACACACATATAAACTGTGTATGTATGTGTATACACACATATATATTTATATAATACTCATGATTCTTTCCTTCTAGTATTAAATGATAGCTTTTTTGCTTAGAAGCTATACACCCACTATTTATGTTGCCACTGTAGTTACAGTTGCTAAAAGCAACTGTTAGATGCCTATAGTGGTCGGCCAAGCTCTAAAAAACTGTACTTTTGAACACACAAAAGGCTGAATCAAAATTTCTATATTCTGTTTCCTTATACTAATTATATTGATTTTACCTGCACAATGACAACGTCAAATGCCTCTGTTACTGCAAAATTTTAAGGATTCACTCTTGACATAATTCAGATTTCAAGTTAAATTGAATCCTAATAAAAATATTCAAAAACTTTACTGCCTATTTTTAAAAGACAAAAGCCAGGTATTTCACTACCTATTGCTCCCCATATGCACATATTATTTACACCAAGCATCTCTGGATCTGAGACGTACCTTGTTCTTTCCCATTGCACACGGTAGTGATGCCATTTTCCACAGCACCTTCCCCATCTGAGCTTGGCCTCTCAGATGACAACTTCTGCAGGGACAAAGATATACATTGATATACAATGTTGGCACCTTTGCCAAATGAAGTGTCATGAGTCAATTTAAAAGTATGCTTACTGTGAAATAAAACACATTTCAAGTTCTCATCCACTTGGAAGACAAATAGACGATAGTAAAAAATTCAGTTTTAGAGGGATTTTTATATTGCCATTCAGGCTCTAGAAAAGCACAGAAACCACAAAATAGGTCTATATTTGAAAGTACAGTCAAAACAGTGACATAACCATAACTCAATACCTCTTGAGTATTTAAAATAAAGTATTATATTGAGTATATAAATTGTTTACATTAAGTATATAAAAATATACACACAATATATTTTTAATTAATTTCTAGAATCTAAATGTTGCTGTTTATTAATCTGCTAAGCAATGAACAATTACATGGATCAGATAAGAATAATTTTAAAATTATTTCTTTAAAAAATTCTTCACATACGCATTTACAATTACAACTTATCAGAAAATAGTGCATTCCTACATGGTGCTTCACTACTTTAAATATCCGCAAAAAAAGAGGTTTTTGAAATAAATTTTTAGCGCCGATTATTCTGTAATGGTTGCATATGAGATATAGGACAACATGGTAAAGAGCTTATGCCAGCACAGATTTGGTAACCACGTTACTCATGAGTGGTGAAGCCATGAAGATGTACAGATTATCACAAAAAGAAACGAATGAGAAGTTTTGCTACCCTTTTTCATGGCGTGCATTTTAGAAAACTACTATTTTATGACACTTTCAGTTACTTTGTTAATACTCTGCAGGTGTGTGCAAGCATGCAAACCCAACAGCTTTTGCCTTGTGAAATCAGGAGGTCTGAGCTGTCATGGAGCATGCTTTGCTCTTACTATCCCAGGTGCAATGCAACGTAACACTACTGATTGTAGCATCCTTCCACTACGGAGGCAGAACTTGCCATCAGGAATTTGGGGATGCAACATTTGTCAGTGGGACTTTTAAGCAGGGTCTGCAGAGGGGTCTGCTCACATGGATGACTTAACAGAGCAGGGGCTTAAATTGGTGCTGGTAATTTACTGATCGTTCACTGCAGGGTTGTTCTCCTTCCTAATTCTTGCTCTCATATCCTGCTGAGTCAAGGCAGCAGAGACAACCACACGTGAATAGCCAAGTTTCTGTGTTGAGGCACGAATGCTTGAAAGGGTCTGTCAACACAGTGACCTCAGCATGCCCAGGGAGCTCTTCAAGAACTAAATTCTCAAAACTAAGACTTTCACTTAAAACTTTTGTATCATCTTCAGCTATTCTTCCCTGAGGGTCACATCCCTGCTTGCTCTTTGCACTTGATGGAGAGTGTCTCTGCATCACAGCACATGTATCAGACCTGCTTAGTCTGCACCCTAAATGGCTAAAGAGAAGCTGCTAATGGATACAAGCCAGTCTGCTGGTTGTTCGTGACCAAACGAATAGACATGGCAGAAATCTTAACTCTGTAGGATGTGTGCACGTACCCAGACAAACAAAAATGACACAGGGGCTAATAGTCTAAAACAAGCAGCACGAGTCAGCAAATAGTTATTGAAGATCGCCCCAGAAAATGGTCTAACATGAAGAAGTTAATACATGAAATCCAGAACCTAAATTCAGTTTCAGCTTTGTGGTCTGAAGATCCCCTAAACCATGCAGCGTCTAGCAGTGCCTCTATAATAAGTAATCGCTAGGAATTTTGCATTCATCATTTTGATAACTTTACCTTTTCCAGCTCTGTCTTGTGTACTGGAGAACTAGACAACAGCCCATCGGAGTCTACCGCTCCCATACAGTTGCTGCACACATCTTTTATAACCTTAGGAGACAAGGCAGAATTTATTAATTATTCATAAAATAAAAATCAGAAAAATTATATATGAATGTGAAGGGAGATGGGAAGGAGAATCCCACAGACATTTACTAGGCTGGCAGGTGTCAGGCAGACTGTCACTACACCAACTTCTCCATGCTGCCTCCCTAAGTCATTTCATGTACAACCTGGAGGAAACATAATGTCTAGAGGTGGGAGGTTTCAGTTTCTAGACAAGCTAAGTTCCAAGGCTCTCCTGAGTAAAGAAACCAACAGCGCTGCTTATTTCCACGTGCTAGTTTTGCAATACGAACTCAGCTGACACCATCAAATTAATTTCATTATGATGACAAAAAAGTGGGATTAGATTCAAGGTCCCGCATGTCAAAGGACAAGAGTTTTGCATAATACGCTACCCAGCTGCTCTTTTTTGCTATTGGAGAACTAATGAAGTGCTGATCGACTTACAGTTAATACTGCGCAGTGGTATTTTGTTGCATTTTTGTATTATACTTGCACATTGACATAAAGGTATAGGTCAAAGCAATTGTGAATGTGTTCTCGGAAATGAGAATGGCATTAAGTCTGCTTTTAAAAAGTTAAAGAAAAATCCAGAACTGAATTCACTGAGATTTTGATAGAATTTGAACAACTTCAAAACCTGAAACTATATAAATGTAAAAATATGTGATGAGTAAAGACATTTGATGATTCCCTATGGACATAATTACGTTTTTTTCTCTCTCATGAGGTTACCACCAGACCGTTATCAGTCTGAAATTGCTTGTGCTGATGAGAACAGGTCCCACCTCTCCATCCAGACTCATGCCAAGGGGATGCTGAGCTCCACAGCGTGGATTACAGCCATGCAGCCACGCAAGGACAGCAGTGCCAAGTGAGCTAAGAAAGAAAGGCATCCTAGTCTGCTGGAAACATTACCGCTAGACAGGCAAACTTTCCTCTTTCCATGTACATGTACATGTTTACATATCCAGCTCCTCCCTTCACACTTTTCAGTTTTGAACTGAAGAATTTTGATGTGGAAACCATTGAAGAGCTAAAAATGGCACCAAACAGTCCTTTCACAGCATTGAAGTTCCCTTTAAGGGTGAAGCTAAACAAATCATATGTTTCTGGGCTTACAAAGACCCAATTGCTACAACTCATGAGCACATAAAATGGCACCAAACAGTCCTTTCACAGCATTGAAGTTCCCTTTAAGGGTGAAGCTAAACAAATCACATGTTTCTGGGCTTACACAAAGACCCATGCTACAACTCATGAGCACATCATAAATTACAGGCACTATATGCCATACAGAAAGAAAGAGCACCAGCCCCATTTTACAGATGGAGAACTCGGGAACAAAAGAACGATCAAATCACTCACTCAATGTCACATAAAAAAATCTAAGCAGAGCGGGGAAATGAACCTACACTTTCATTTCTGAGCTAGTATCTTAAAACACTTCAGTATCCTTTCTTGACTGTCTGAACTTCCCTATATCTTGTCCCAGAAACATAAGCACAGTATTTCATGGCACTTGTCGCCCTTTGTAACAGAAAATGTAGATATATCTGTTGCAGAGCATTTGCACCTCAGAGTTAAATGTAGCCCTATATTCCCCAAAATCATAAGAATTTTTTTTTGTGTGTGTTGTTTTATTTTCAATTGCTGGTCCTCAGTATGGTGTAAATACACTGCTGTTTTCTTCCTAGAGAAATGTGGCCGTACAGTTTCTGGGAACATTCATTTCTGTCTCCTGCATGACCCTGGTTCAATGGCTCATGTTTTCAGCATCTGCTCACACCACACAGTTAGTTAATTTTGGCAAAGGCAGATAGTAATGGGAGTTACAGACAGAACAGAGGGAAATGATTTGGCAGCACTAACTGAATAGTATGTGCAAAGTCATGCACTCAAGTAAATCCGGTTCTTATCATACCTCACATATTTAAGGAGAAGCTAAAGTGTTTAATTGGGTTGTAATTAAATTTTGATTAAAAAAATGACAGACTATCAAATGGAAGTTCATGGCAAGATCTGAATTAAATGCATATTCAAGGATCCAACACTTCATTTGGGTTCAAGGGGTTCACTGGCAGACTTGCTCATCACCTTCTATGTGCAATATAATTGTGTTCGATGCGCAGCATAAAACTCATGCTTCTACAGCTCACCAGGATGAAATGCCTTTAATATATAATGGTTGCCTGGATGCACTCTCTATAATTACGTTTGCAGACAGCTGCCATTATAGATGTGGTTTTCACATGCTTATAGCTTTAACTCAAAATTTTAAGGATAAAACATTCCACCAGTGTTGCCAACTTGCATAATTTCAATCACAAGACTCGGCATTTTTGTCAGTTTTTTCTGTGGAGTCTCCTGGAGTCATATGAAAACAAAAGACCACTATTTTCATTAAAAAATAGTTGTGAGTGAGAGTGGGGAAAGGAGGTCAGCAAATTTTTATCCATTGCAATGAAATGTGTGAAAATATGAATAAATACATCTCAATGGCTCCAAAACTAGAAAGCAAATAAAAGGAATCCCCAAATGTGTTATTTTTAATAAAATGGCATTATCTGGAGTGCTGTACTGAGAATACTTTGTAATGGTGCATACTCCATTAATAGTTTAAGTTTTCGCACACATTAGAAAAGGGAAATCATTCTCTTTTTCTCAGCACAAATGCCTTTGTACATTACATACACACACACACACAGGGTGATCTGCCAGGAAAATCAAACTGAGATCATAAACAGACGATGTATTCAAATATTTAAAACATATAAGCAAATGTAATCAGAAAACTGAAGACCTTTCACTTCTTCGGATATCCTCAAAACTAAATAAATTTAAAATAATCTTCTGTTATTTCATCGCAAGAATTTTAAATACCACAATTACCATTACAATGTTACAATTAGTAGACTTCAGAACGGCCTCTTTCAAATGCAGACCTGGAAAAAGCTTATGCAGCCTGAACTATATTATTATTCCTTATTTATGTTATAGAAAGGTCTTGAATCCCCAGCTAGATCAGGATATACACCGGTGTATCACATTGACTGCAGTGACATGAAGAATAGAGGGGAAATATTTGCAGGTACAAAGCTGGAAAGATTCCCTGCCCCAAGCCATGGACAGTGACGGGTGAAATCAGTGGAATTTCTGCCACGTGGTGTGTCTGGAATATTTCTCTCTTTAAAACTATCTTACTACACAAGCACTAACATTTACTATAAATGTTTTTACCTGTCGTCACCTACAAATTTCTATAGTTATTATATCTTAAATGACACACCATGACTGGAGGCAAAATACTTACCCTACATGCAAAGTCAGAAGAATCAAATTAGCTTTTTCCAGCTACCTTCAAAGATCCAGGCTTCAGATAAAAACTACAGGCTATGCAGTAAAAGCAGAAAGCCAGCTGCTTGCCAGCCAGACCCTGCCTCACAGAAACCCAAAAAATTCTGAGTAAAAGTACTAAATTTGTAGCTGGTTCCTTGTAGTTGATCTCTTTGAGACCCGATACGGAATAAGACTGAGTCTTCCTGCGTTTGAGGAGCTTGCAGACCTCTCTCCTGGGGGATACCGAGGGACAAGTTCAGGCTACAGGCTGTGCTCACCACAGGGATGCGACTATAGCATCTCGTCTCATCTCGTCTCATGTTTTCATGAAACTCACAGGAGAAGCTCACACTTTTAATATGATCGAGTTCAAAAGTGATTAGGGAGAAAGCTGACGGCCTGACAGCACATTTGCTTCACTTCTGCATGTAACCAGGCTAGAAATCCATCCAGCCAACCCACCCCCTCATCCCCATCTACCCACGTGTTTCGCAAATACAGGAACTGCTAGAAATGGGGAGGGCTGAAGCCCCTGCCTCGTCACTGCTGCTTAACTCTGAAGAGAGGAATATGGTAAAGCTGAAATCTGCTTATGCACAACACAGCAGAGGGAAAAGGGTTTGGCTCCAGGTGTAACTCAGTGTTTCTCATTCCTGAAACACTCCTTTTTCAGTGTTGGAGGAGTACTGACTTTCTGGGACTTCTCATCATTTTGGCATGACTAAATTCTCATTTTCTCTCTCTTTTGGACCCTTACACACTACATACATTAGCATCAATCTTGCCCTCCTTAAGAGAGCACCAAAACTCTCTTAGCATTTTGCAGAGAAGAAATGCCCCAAGGAGTTTACCTAGATAAATTAGAGGAAAAGCAGAAATTATTCACATCATAGCCTATGCTTTAAGTCTCAAAAAGAAACCCCCTTTACCTTCTGTACTGGAAAACGTAATTCTCAAGCATCCCCTAGCCTGAAAAGATTCATCTTTCTGCCTTATTGCCATTTGTCTGAGCAAAGTGGGGATGAGATTCTAGCAGACTAGCAGCCAGCAAGCCTATCTTTAGTGACTGTATATCCCCTTAAAAATACTTTTCTGACATATTAAACCAAGACAACCCCCGCACCCTTTCTCCTGTGTTATTACCATGAAGTCTATTGCCATATATGGCCACTGAATCGGACAGAGCCCAGGGAAGGAGGCGCTGGGTGGCTGGAGGCATTGCTGCTGCAAGGGCAGAGGTACCCCGTGCAAGGGGAGCTGCATCCCCAGCCCAGGCGGTGCAGAGATGCAGACCGCACTCTAGGCCGTAAATCTGAGCTAGGTATGATTTAAATAATTTTCCATCCAAAGCTGCAAGTAGGAGAGAGGAGGAATACTATCTCGTGGTGAAAGCAAGGGATCAAGTCTCAGCCCTCCTGGATTCTGCTCTGAGATCTGCTACAGCTTGCATTTGTGATTTTAGCCAGGAACTTACAGAAAACTTATCCCTGAGAAAACAAGCAAATAGATGTTTGTGGTTCTGTATTCACTGGTGGGTTTTTTTTAAATTTACATATGCATCTGCTTTTTTTAAGTAATGTATTGCTTTCCATGGTGCCAGTCACACAAACACACTCTGGTTCACAGCCAGGATGGGGTCCTCTGGCTCTGTCAAAGCACGCTGGCAGCAGTCCTGCAGGCTGGTCAAAGCTCTCACACGCAGCTCAGCCTGTCACATCTCCGGATCATGCCCTAAATAGTTTTTATGCAAACACACTGACCTTGCTGTGGTTTGTACCAAGGTATCTAAAACCATCTCTTTGAGACAATAGGGGTGTAAGTCCTGGGAGGTTTGCTTTAGTTTGCAAAGCCTTCACTGCTGGTGATGATGTGCAGTGGAGAAAGAACCCAGCCTGACTGCCTTGGGACACAGTATGTTCCTGAAGTTACTTATAAACTAACAAACACTATACGGAAATCACTTGTACCAAGTATGCATCCCCAAACACACTTTTTCCAGTCAGTTTTAAGGCATGATCATTCAGCACTTGACTCTACTCAGCTACAAAATGGAGATGATAACCTCTTTGGGGAACATTACTTAAGCCAAGAAAGTAATGTTTCAAGTGTTTTGAGATCTCTAGCTGGAAATTCCCATAGAAAGTAAAACCAGCCACACAATGTTTACAGTTACAAGCTCAGTTTTGTGCCGATTTAAACTAGTAAAAAAAGAGCTCTGTCAGTAGTTTATTCTTCAGTAAAACTCAGTCCACATTAAGACCGGAGCCCAGAAGTTACTTGACTCCCCTCACTAAGCTCAGGGCAGAGAAAAAAAAGACGTTTTCAAAGACTTTTATGAGACACAATATGCAGTTATCGGAGATGGAAACTGGGTAGGACAACCGGATTAACAGCCCTACAAGGAGTGTTGCAGGGTCTCTGGATGACTGGATGCAGTTACAACTTTGATTTTCTTCTCTCTCCGGGGCAAAAAATCCCTCTTATTACAACAAGTTCAGAACTGACTGAACATTGTCAAAATGATAGATGCAGAAATGTCTACTTATGCCTGAAAGATTCACTGCTCAATTACAAACCCTCAGCTGAAGAGATTGCAGCAAAAAGGCTGCACACTGTAAAACGAAGAAAAGTTAACAAAGGGTGCCTAACATTAGGGAAAAACGTAAATCAAGGCCAGTACTCCAAAATGATAGATTACCTCTCATGCATGATAAATCAGAAATACATTTTTGCAGGAGGCAATACTAAGAGGAAGAGAAGGCCTTGGGACCAGAAACCATGACCATTTCCTTCTTCTACCAGTCTTCTACAAGAAGCTACTTCAGAACTTAATTTCTTTGGCATCCATATATTTTTAATATTAAGAGCATTTTTCCGTGGCCTAGTCTGAAGGTCCTGCACACAGAACACATTCATCTGTATGAATGAAGCCACTAAACAAGCATCTTCTTGTAATGTCATGTTCTTAGTAGTCCTTTTATTTTCAATGTAGCATTTCCCAGGGATGCTGACAAATAAATGTAGTTTCAACCAGTCCGTTGGATGTGCTGAGACAAACAGGCAGATTTAAGACCTCACCTGACCACAAATGCAAAAAAGCACACACAGATGCACATATACTCAGGCGCGCATGGGAAAAGCTCATGTTTGGGTCTGAGTGTGTAACTGCACACATTTTTTCATGTACATTTTTGTGGGAACATTTTAGGACTCAAGTCTGGAAAATTCCACCACTTTATGTTGCACACCATATTACTGCTATGATCTCAGCTCTAGCCTGAATTTATGCTCCTTGCTCTGAAAGCTTGACAGGCTCTTTGGTGACATCAGCTATCTTTTTTTCATCAAGCATTTCTTAGCTGGTAAACCTGAAACTCCCTTTGTGGTTTCCAGTCTAGACTTCAATTTGCACTAAGTTTATCAGCTGCGTTTTTTTGGTGTCATCTTTACAAAAAAAGGTCTAGAATATTTTGCATTTATTTCACACTTGTCTTCCAATAGATATTTTAAAATTATTTGCTTAAGTAAACGTATTTTATACCGATTACATTTGACCAAAAAAAATAATCTGGTTTAGCTTTCATGGGAAAATCTGGCCTCTAAAGCCATTCTGAGCTTTTCAGGCTCAAGAGTAAAGCTTTAATTTGACACCTACATATGAGTTCATGAGAACCCGTTGTTCCTGAGCGATAACCTGGCTCCACTGGCATGTACTGGTACAGTATCTTTGACAGAGAAGGTATGTTATGATTAAAAAATGTGGTTGCAGAGACCTTTCTCATTGTCAGTCTCTGAATCTGCCCATGGTATTAACTATGGAAATCACATGTAGGTGACAGAGCTGGGGATGATGCTGCCCCTCTGAGTGACAGGCAGGGAAAGCTCAAACTGCTTCTCCCAAGACAAAGCAGTGATCCCTTTCTCAGTATAGAAACTTCCTACACAAAGCCACACATGATTTTCAGATGCTCATTTTACATAAGGCTGGAATGACAAACAATAATTATTTTCATAAGAAAAAACCCTCAAACTTAAATTTTGATACATTTTAAAAAATACAAAACTCAATACTGTCTATCTCAAAAAGCTATACTTCCTCTTGAGAACAGAACTCTGTTGCAAGAGCTGCACAGACCATTTTTGGTTAGCTGTTGGATAGGCAATTTGTACTGTACAGAACAGAGAGTGCTGCAGCAGTGCTGAGGACTTGGAAGCTGAGCGTACAGTAGTGCTGCCATGTACTTGGAAGAGTTTTATTAATAGAGAGCTTTGCAGCATGAAGGAACTAAATAAAGTGCTGTCAGACTGTCTCCAAATGCTTTGCAGATAACATACTGTCCGGCCATTCACCCTCGGCACACACAACTTTGTTAACATGCAACTGTACAAAATCTTTTTTTTTTTTTTTTTTTTGTAATTAAAGTAGAAGGAATGCATCTGGGATATGGAAAAATCTAGCACTGCTCTGTCTGCCTGTGTGGGGACTGCTCTATGTACAATTAAAAAAAAAAAAAGAAAAAAGAAAACAATTTTAATGAAAGAAAGTCTGATAAATGCCAATGAATTCAGCAAACCCAAGTTTAGAACAACACAGGAAATAATGGTGCAGTTCCTATGATCTAATTACAGCGGAATTCCCTTGGAAAAGAATATGACTTGTGAATTTCTTTTCATTCCAATCAGTGTTTTTGAAACTCTAGGTGAGTTAGTCGGACACTTGGATGGTGCTAGATTTTATAACTTGAAACAAGATACTGATGTTAGAAGAAGCCTAACAAATACATGGCTGTGATTAGTTTCTATTAAAAAGGCAATAGAGAGTGCATTTTCCTAAGCTAAGTACAAACTCACAGTCAAAACCAAACACACATACACACACAAACTGCAAACCCCCAAAATATATATTCAAATATTGCAAAATAAGAAATTACAGATTAATTTTACATTTAGTAAATTAGCCCACAGCAGGACTCATACCTCTTAAGCTGCATTTTATGTCTCCCTCTTCTGCAGAAAAACTATCTGCCATCAGGAAATTCCTATGTGTTTAATTCGATTGTATTTGGAAAAATACAATTTATTCTTAGAAAAATAAGTACCATATAAGGTTAGATCATAGCACAGCATGAAGAACGCCTGATGAGTGTTATGCATTCAGACCTTTACATGCATTTAAAAGGCTGGATTTCCAGGTCTTAAAACAAGCTACTGAAATTGCAGTGGTAGTTTCCCACACTACTTCACTGACCTCTACATTTGAGACTGGTATAGTCCAACATAAATACTAGTAATCTGGTTAGGATCTAAAACTGCAGTCCTTGCACTGGGATTTTCCACATTTGCAGACACTGAACAGAAAGGAGTGGAAGATGACAAAATCCCATTTCTCAGAAGTCTGCATTCCCAGAACAAACCATAACAGATGATACCCTGCTAAACCAGGATTAGCAAACTTGAACTGACTTCAGGAAGCTGAAGGATTTTTCTCCATCCAGAGCAATTCAAACAGGTATCTCCTCAGAGATCCTTCTTTTCAAAAAGGTGACTGTGATGTTGGTATGCCCAATTTTTGCAGGGTAGCCTATGGCGGTTACGCAAATATACCACTCCATAAAGCAACCTGGGTACCAGCCCCCTCCACCTTAGGGAATTTGAACCTTCAGCTCACTACTAGTGTGCCCTCACCACCAAAGCTTTCTGGAAAATGTGCTGAGATGAAAATGGAAGGGAATTTGCCACCTCTCCTCTCGGTGCCAGATTATTGTGCAATTAGCAGTGAAAACCATACTCAGCAGCAGCAGCAGCAGCAGCAGCAGCAGCAGCTGTGTAATACTGAGCTGCTGATTACCCAAGGAGTTGCTTCGAGGCCTGAACATTAAGTCTGTATTTCTGCAGTCCCAAATTAGATGGGATTTAAGTGGTCTGGATTTGCCTAAACGTTACTGTCTGTATCTCAGTTTTTAACAGCAACTGGAAGCACTTTGTGGGTGGAAAAGCTCCTGGTCAGAAATCCCCCCTTACCTTTAGCCACTGTTCCGCCTGCTCTTTGCTCTGTACTGCCAGAACCAGGGCATCCGCTCCTTGGTGTGAGATTTTCAGCTCATGCTTCTTCTTTTTGCTGTCTTTGGGAATGTACGTGATACTGCAGTCATTCAGGAGCAGCTCCATCTGGGGCTGCTGGTCCTTGGAACTTTTGTAACACTAAATATGTGTAAGGAAAGTTCAAAAGTTAGATATCACCTTTCTGAACCTTGGGGGAAAGCTGTTATTACATAGAAATACTATTTTTTAATTTTTAATATTTTCCGCGCACCCCTTTACCACATACCACAGAGTCCAGCCAATGCCAACTTTGCATTTCTCCTCCTCATCCCCTCTGTAAAGCAAAATTACTTCCAGACTGACATTAATAGACATCTTTTATTGCAGGACAGGTACAACATATGGAGAGCGTTAAGCTTCTCTGTGTTATCCTTATGACTCAACCTTGACCTTGATCAGGTAGGAAGAGGGTGATTTCAGATATCTGTTCACAGGTAGCAGCAGAATAAACTTGTACAGTTAACAAATTTAAAGCCCAGATGCTTACCCTGCCCTGCAGCAACAGCCCGGCGTATCAAGGCAAACCTACGCCAGTGCCCACACGCTGCAGCTACAAAGGCTCTGGCACATGCCCTACTCAGCTGTTCTTTTTCTTGAGATAAGTAAAAAAATTGTCACGCTGTGGAAAGGGGGCAAAGTCGCAGGACGGTAATTTTTTTAGCTAATTCAATTTAATCAGTCACTGCACAAAGCTGCTTAAATCTCCATGTTAGTTTACTCTGTAAGCTCCTGGATAAAACTACATAACTTACCCAATGTTTTTTCCCTCAGTAGTAAGTGCTGTCAATGAACAGCCATTTCATGCTGGATCACTGATGACCTGCTCTATGTTTAAATTGGTGATCTAAAGATTAAGGGTTTCACGTTACATCACTTGTCCTATAGACCTAGTCCTGTCTTCTAACACATCAGTATAGTTGAGGTTCATCAAGCTGTCACAGAGTGCCAGACTACAGGACGTTTAATTGTGGATATGAATGTCCAGTTATTTTATATACTTGGGTAAATTGGGCTTTTACTCATACAAATAAGCACAAAGGCTAAAAAGGTATCTGATAATAAAGAAGACTAATTAGTATATGCATACATAGAATAGTTGAGTATAAATGTGAACAGAGAAAAGCACATGAACTTTTGCATGTCTGCGGCAGTATTCATGTCATGATGCAACTGTCAGGAAGACAGTAGCTGTTAAAAGTATGTTATAAACTCTACAACTTAGGCTGAGCAAATACAGCCACTCTAACCCAGCCTCTGCAAATCACTCATAATCCTCCCTCCCTCTCCAAAGCCCACTAACTCAAAGTTTCTCTAGCTTGGTCTCTAACCCAGTCTGCAAATCACTCATAATCCTCCCTCCCTCTCCAAAGCCCACTAACTCAAAGTTTCTCTAGCTTGGTCACAGATTTTCAGTTTGTAACATTAAAAAAATGTCAAGTTTTCAAGCTATGAAGTCTTGAAAACATACAACATCAGTCACTTTAAGAAGCAATAACCAGTATATAATTCCCTTTATATTAATTTAAATATTTTACTTATAATTATACATGACTAAAACTGAAGTATTTATATATTAAAGGACTTTAAGTGAAAAATGATTCCCTACTAGAAGTTATTTCTAATGTCTAGTTCTAATTAAAATATTTTGGTTTTATGATGACAGCTGCATTTATAACACAAGCAATTACTAATCCCTAAGAACATATATTTGTTTTACTTGCATATCTCATAAGTTAAATGTCTAAGGCCTCCTTCAAACAATAAACCAATCTTGTGTAACTTGGTCATTAGACTCCTATTGTGATTTTTATTTTCTTAATCCCCATCACAGAATTACTGAAAGACAATCCCTATAAGGAAAAAAAAAAGCTTTTCAGACCACACATATGGCTAAAGGAAATGAAAATAGAAAAAATAACATATTTCTATACAGAAAAACAAACATAATTGTAGAAGAAATATTGTGTGACTTCAGAGAAAATCTGTTTTTTCCCCTCTGTCTTTCTTTTCTTCAAGCTGTTATCAGATGGTCCTGAAATTTGATATGATCCTGGTATATGGTGATAAAAATGTGGACTAAGCATAATGGCATCATAATACAAACCGAATCACAATATGATACAAACCAAATCGGAATCAACATTCTTTTCGACACTTAAATAGAGGCGGATAGAAAAATTAAATCCTCAGTAACCACTGAAAACTGGCAAATGAATTTCAACTCTATTTTCAGAAACCTCTTACCCAGGTACCTCTATTTCATATCCTGTTATTTCCTGTACCGCCACAAGCATAAATGTACTGGGGAAGTGAATGCATCTAAGCTATGTTGTAAGAGCGTAGAATAATGAGGTTCTACAGAAAATGTTCTATCACCTGTTAATCAGCTTTTAACATTTGGGATATTGCAGTCATTATTAGTTACATAATTAGTTACAACTGTTGGAAGCACCAGACAGGAAGACAGGGAGTGCCTAAGACCGCAACTTATTTATTACTGTAGGCATTAGTTCGCTTATAATGACACAGGAATGAGTGTTTCCCTCAAATAGGCTCTCTCTTCAGAAAACAAAACATCTATGAGCAGATCATTTACTAACTTACAGAATCTTCTACTGGTGCCTCCAATCAGAAAGAAACACAGCAGATATGCTTAAGGAACAAATACATCCACTTGTTTCTTTCCTTTCTATAATGCAGCTGTGCATCATGTGAATACTGCATCTGTAATGACCGCAGAACAGATGGCAAAGGTTTCGTTTAAAGCGTATACATTACCACGGCATATGCTGCCAAGTAAATTCTCAGTCGAACAAGGGACTTTTCTCTCCAGCGGTCTGATCCAACAGTTCATACACAAAGCTACCTAGGAGATTTTTGGTCCGCAGGGAATGAAAGATTGGATTTACAGTTTCAGCAATTTTTTTTCCAAATGAAATATGTTAGAAGCTAATAGGCCAGACTTTCTTTCCAGTATCAGGGAACTGCCTGGGTTTAAGTGCAATAAAAATCAAAGTTCTAAGTGGCTAAATGATACGCTTATAATTTCAGTGCTTCTCTGCTTCTTGGGTAAATCATGACCAAACTCTTTTCGTAAAGTTACTGTAGACTTGGCCACTGTTTGCAGAACCTATTCCAAAAACCAGATTCCTGCAAAAATAAATGCGTCTAAAAGGTACAAAGAAAATATAGCTAGATAAAAATAAAAATTACCAGTAGTTTGTTTTCTTTGATAACACACAGTAGTTTGGTCCACTGCCCAAATCGTTTCTTTCTAAGGAGGAAGGCACAGATTTTGGCATCCTTCACCAGATCCATAGAGGCCTCCTCGGAAGGCCACTGATGTCTCATTTTTTTCCCCTTTCCATCCTCCTCCTCTTCATCATAGGATTCGTAAGAGCTGCTCATAGCATCTGAGTCATAATCTTTAAGAAAAGCGTAAAACTGTCAAGTTAAAACACTTAGCAATGAAGCGTACTGAAATAACTGAAAATCTCAACAGGGTTCATTTTAAGTTAAGGCTTTTGAAAGTCAGCCGTGAACAAATTACTGTTTCAGTGCTTAGTAATATCAATACATTAAGTTAATGGAGTAAGAGATGCTGTTCCATTATGACATTTTATAGAAGACCCATACTGATACCTTGGGAATTTTAATTGAAAAAATGAGCTGGGAATAAATAGTTAGAATTTTAGGTAGTTTTTTATTCTCTTCAAAATATTACTTAGCAGATACCTTCATCTTTTGTAATTCTTCTACAGAGAAACATCTTCATCTTGCCCTATTGCATAATGCAAAATGTAGGCACAGAAATGTCAATATTAGTACAGCATATTAAGAAACAAACACTGAATTATGACAAAGGTCACAAGAGTAAATTATGGGGCACTATCTACCTATCGTAACATTTCATACAATTCTCAAATACAGAACCTGCACTGATACAATTAACGTTGAATAGACAATGCTGTTGCTTGAGCTACGGATTCTGCTGGAGTTAAAGGCATTCTGCAAAAAAAGTCCTGTTATGTTAGCCTAAACAGTTTAATCCTGCTCGAAGTTCGGCAATGTAACGGCAAGATTCCTTTTTAATTAAACAATCTTTGTTCAGGCCTTTCATTTTCAACAATGAAATTGTTGAATTCAACAATGCAATCAGCTCTAGCAGTCCTCAACTACAAAACTAATTTGCCATTATCACAGAACCTTCTCTTCCATCATCCATACTTACTTATTTGTTTATGTGGGCATATAAGTAAAGCTCCTCAGATAATAACACCTGAAGGCAAGCCTGTTATCCACTGGCACATGCTCCCATGCAGGAGACTTGATTGGAGTATTTTCAATAGCTGAAATTTCATCCAAACATTTCAAGCAGACTTTGATATATTTTTAGGCCAGAATGAGGAAGAAAAATATCTCATTTGCTTTAGCTAGGTATTTAGGACACAGTTGGGATGTAGGAAAGAGACCTGGGACAACTGGGAAAAGGACAAGAGAGTGAATTGCTGGAAAGCTCATTCTAAATCAGTTCCTCCCTATGTGCAGAGTCAGAATGGGATATACCTAGACCTCACATTGCTGAATCAAGACTAGATATTCTGATCCTATTTGTGTTTTCACAAAAGTGTACAAAATAGTTTGTCTTCATTCCAAAGTGAAATGAAAATAAAATTTCAAGCTCTTGAAACTTTTTTTTTAAATTTAATTTAATTGCCATCTTCAGGTCCATTCTGCTACGGAGTGTTTGGTTTGGGGCAGCTTTGTATGGGCAAGTGGTAAAAGCCTCAGATTATTAATTAAATTAACTGTAGGAAGTGCTGAGTGAGACTTCAAAGTAGAGATTGAAATTCTGCATGTTAAATATGCTACAGGTACTTCCTATGGGGCTCACAAGCAGTCCGAGTGCAGAGTTCATGTTAGCAGTAAGTTGTATGATCAGCAGAGGGACTCTGCTGGCACAGCAGTTGCAGGTTCATCCAAATCTCTGTTTATAGGAGGATGAAAGCCAACAGGAGCTTCTGAGGCTGACATTTCTGGACTCCCATCTTCGCTCAGTCTAACAGGATCTCTGGGGACCTGTTGCCATATCCTGCTCATTAACTACTCCCCATGTTTCTCTTCTCCTTAGGTTGTGGGACTCTTGGCCAGAAGAAGAGTTTGCTGTGTGACTCACACCAGGAAGGATGACCACCCTGGAGTACTCATATCGTGCGGGCTGAAACCTTTGCTGCACTTTGCCACATCCCGCTTCTATTCTTTGTTTCTCCAAACTGCTCTATCATGACCAAAACAAGGCTGTCAGGCTCTGGACACAAGCTAGCTTCTGTTCACATTGTAAAGTGACTATTTTAACATAAATAGCATAGGCAGACTACTACCCATACTTAACAGCTTTAGTAGTTATACAGAAAGTTATGCAGAGAAATCCAGCATGTACGTATAATTGCAAAGGGTTTTGAAGCAGTATTACTTCCAACTAATATTCACTGTGAACTGAATTTGGGAAGCAGTAAACTACCTATTAAAAATGCTAAATTGTGGAAACAAACTGTGTAAAGGTAAGTTGTGGAAAGGCTACTGGTGACTAAATCCTGTCGTCTCTTATTGTCTCATCACAACAGGTAATGAAACAGGCTTGACAGTAAACTTTAGGTAAGATCTGAAAAATTCCTGTGTATATGTTCAAGTCAACACACTCTTTGGGTCTTGGAGTGGGGAAGGGGGCGAGAGAAAGGCGAGAAATACAAAACGTGTAGGAAAAGTCAAAAGTGTCTCTCCAAAATAAAGTTATTTTATTAAGTCTACTAAAGTCTCAGAGACTGAGATTCACTGATACAACATGTTCCAGTGCTGCTGATCTACCTTTTTTGCATCTTCTGCATTTTCTGATTATTCTAGCTTCTTTTGACATTGGCTTTTTACACTTATCTTCATAAAAATTTTCCACTCTTAGGGGGTGAAAATCACAGTGGACTTTCACATTATTTGCAATAGCGTATTCCAAAGATTAATCTGTAAAAATTTAGGCATATTGTACAGACCAGTAGGTTTTAATAAAGAGAGAGTTATCAGACAAGGCATATTCAGTCTTGTTTTCATCTACATGCAAGTGTTCATTTACAAAGTTTCATTTACAAACAGATTACAGGGACTTGGGGAAGTTACGGATATTTCATTTTCATGATCTATATTCTGCAATTTTCTTCTGCTGCTGTTCGCCTTTATAGGTAGGACACAGGTATGTAAGCCTCCTTGCTATTAATGACATTACAAAAATATTCCATAGGAATATTTACTTAAGATAATGATATCTATCCCAACAGTTGTTTAACAGTTTATTCTTGCACTTCTTTTAGCACTTCTTTGTTATGGTCTTCTCCACCTCAAACAGTCCGAACAGCTAAGGCTACATCTTTGGTTAATACACTGCTTTGGTGGCTTATTTTAATTACCACACACACTGGATTTAGTGGAAGTTTTGCTTGAGTGGAGATATATTACTAACGGCATATTGAATTTAAAAGCAACTTTATTACCGATGAAGAGTGGAATACTTTTAACACAAATTAAAAGAGATGATAAGGAGTTCAGGACATAAGAAAATACAGCAAAATCACAGCAAGTGAGATGATAAGTTACACTAACAGAGATTTAAATGTCTGGAGATATATATACTTAAATTACGGAATTATTAATGAACCTTTAAGGCTGATATCCTAAATATTTTTATGGATTTGGATGGTTAAGTACAATAAGAAATCAGTTTCATATTTTGTCTTTTTTTCCCTAGGTGATCCTTTAGCAGTTCTATTAATATTTGTTCTATTAATATTTTTCTGCCTGAGCATGGCTCTTATTTAATGACAAAACACAAATCAGCAGTTCACCGGACTACAGGGTGTAGCAGGACCACCCTGCAGCATTTCAAGGGAGGAAATGAGGAGAGGAGTGATTTTGCTGCTCTGCTAAGACTGTATGTTCCTTCATTTGCTTTACAGTATATGAAACTCTTTCTTACCTTGAATTTCTTAAGTAAATTAAGATAGCCTCAGTTTGTGCAGTGTACAAGTGAATAATTAATATTCTAAGGTGACTCTTATGCATGTGTTTCAAGAACAGATATAATTTTCTTCATTTGTTCTGGTTCAACTAATAAAAATGGCTATAAAATGGGGGAAGATATGCCTTTAATCTTTGGGCCATAGAAAATAACGATTAGCGATAAATCAGCCATACACAAGTAAGAAATTACCCCAGCCAATAAAAAAGCAGCAAAAAGGAAAATCTTTGCGATTTTTTGGTACATAATGGCCTGTTGACTGACCCTGTGTAAATGCTCACAGCAGTCATTTCATCGCTTCATCGGCGTGCTCCCAGCGTAGCTTCACTTAAGTGCGTAGTTCTTTGGATAAGTATTTGGACGTGAGAAAGAGCATTTGTGTGTTGCAGAAGGACATTCTGGTGGTCAGTTAAGAGGCAGCCCTCTGCCTTTTGCACTAAACGAGCAGTCACAAAAATACCGTCATATGCATCAAACATGGCTTGTGGGAGCCAGTATGAGTGATTTATCCCTATCCACAACGTGTCATCAGAAATGCTGTAAATCACGTCTTTTCAATAATTCGTTTTTTCTTTTTATTTGTACACTTTAGCAAGTAATTCAGTGCAATAGAGGCATACCAGTAGATCTGCAGATCAGCACCAGTTTCTGAGGAAATACCGTCATATGCATCAAACACGGCTTGTGGGAGCCAGTATGAGTGATTTATCCCTATCCACAACGTGTCATCAGAAATGCTGTAAATCACGTCTTTTCAATAATTCGTTTTTTCTTTTTATTTGTACACTTTAGCAAGTAATTCAGTGCAATAGAGGCATACCAGTAGATCTGCAGATCAGCACCAGTTTCTGAGACCTCTACATTTACAGTATCACCAGTTTAGAGGGGTTTTCTCTGGACGATACTTAAGTCTGGACTCCTGGTCCAATGCCCCCACCACCTGCATGGTTCAAAGCTGTCCAAAAGACCAGTGGCTGATTTGGACCTTCTGTCTCCAATAGCAGCTGAAACATGTTTATGTGCACGTAACTTGAGCTCCAGGTTTAGTTTCCTCTAAAAGGAGCCTGGTTTGTGCACACCAAAACAGTTCTGCAGGCCAAACAATGCATGGCCAGTGAGGATAACCAGAACCAGCGCCAAATGGTCAAAGCCACGTTTACGACACGTCACCACAACACCAATAGAGATGTAGGTGTCAAATACTAAAAAAGCTGAAGGACACTGGAATTACCAGAATTACGCTCAGAAACTGGTCTAGATATATATTACTCACTGGAAGTCACCACAGCACCAATAGAGATGTAGGTGTCAAAAAAGCTGAAGGACACTGGAATTACCAGAATTACGCTCAGAAACTGGTCTAGATATATATTACTCACTGGAAGTGATGTACTCGGGAGCCTTTCCAGGACTAAGTGGTACTGCCTCTTCATAATAGCCTTCGGGAAGGGAAGATGTTGGTAATGGTGGAGGCCCATTATCTGGTGGCTAAAAAAAAAGAAAGAAAAAGAAAAAATGAACTCCTATCACTCATGATAAGGAAGCAGAACCTTCTTGCATGTGCTCCAACTGAGTCCTTTGGGAATATAAACACAGCATGATCTCACTTGCCACTGTTAAGGATGGCACAATCAAGGTAACAACTACCTTAGAAGAAGTCCTTTCGACAACAGCATTAAGTGGTAAAAATGTTGAAAAGATATAGTTCTCTATTTAAGAACCAGAAACTTAAAGGGTCTATGTCGGAAAGAGATTTCTGTGCACTGACCATTTTACAGTGTTAAGGCTTATTTATTAGTATTTTACATCTAAAATAATTCGTATTACAGCAGCGAACAACAGTTTGGTTGGACAGTTTAGGAAAGCTAAATAGCTTGGGCTGGCAGAGATAAAGGACAGATAATTTAGATCATATTTTCATGATGTATTTTGTTTTTCAATGGCAAATCAATTCTTAATATAGACATTAATTTTTAAAATGCTCTTTCCACATAGTGAAAACTGAGCTACAACTAAGGAAAAGTTTGGAACATCAAGAAACTATTATATGATAAAATAAATATTTCAAATACCAGGTCAAATTCTAAAATGCTTCTTTTCTAAATATAAACCAGTTTTAAATTTAAAACTGACCGACTGCTGGTATGTTGATATAGTAAACAAAGTAAATTTAGTACTCTATGACTTCTTCCATATGACTTACTGTTCTATTTCCTTAACAAGTACCAAAACAACTGTATTTTATAGAACTCATTCATATTTGCCACAGGTTTTTAGTTCCATATTTTCATATTGGAGAAAATACTGAAGTCTTTTTCCAACACCAGTGGTTTATTGCATGATTACAAAAATATAACTTGTAAGCAGTCTCATTTCTGCAGTCACATTTTTTCAATATATCTTTCTCTTTCTTCATGTAATGAAAGAGCTATAACGGTGTATATCTGCATTGGACTGATCCAGTCTAAACTCGGGGAATGAACAGAGATACCAAAGTAAGAAACTAGTCAGGGTGAGCTTTGCTCGTGGTCAGACACAGACACTTCTGGAGTGCAATTCAATGGGCTGAACAGTCTAGTAGAGGCATAGAGCCTTCTTCCACATAATATAAATGAAGCCACATTGACTAGACTCCTCTTTTGCTATAGACCTGAAGTTACCCGGGAGGAAGCTGAGCTTTAATAACACGTGTTATTAAATGTACTGAAATTACTTCTGTGGGCACTTTCAGGCTTGGATTCATCTTTGCAGATTTCAGAGCTAGACATCTCCAAATCTCATTACCGATTACACACCTACACCGCACACCTAATTCTTAACAACATCAGCAAGACGAGTCCCACCCTTAGTGTGCTCTGTAGTTAAATGCATATTGAGTAGGTTATTCCACCTTGCAGGTAAGTGCTTGCGTATTCCTGATGTACAGGAAGGCAAGGAGCTAGCGAATAAACCTGCCCTTCGGCTCATCCAGCGCTGACTTCCCTGGGTGCACTGAGTAAAATCAGAAACTTCCCCACAAACAATGAACCGACTCGTGACTGAACACAGAAATTCTTGGTCCAATTGAGATTTACACTAACATTACTTCTCTATCAACTGATATAGCCAACTTCATATGTCACACTCAATTACAGATAAGAGATGGCAATTACTGTTATCTACAATGTGAACCAAATGTTTTCCTCACAGACCAGTTTTGCTAGAGAAATTATCTGTCAAAGAAGCAAAATAATGAAAAAATACAACTTTCAGCATAGTTTCCCTGTCATTCTGCTGAAAAAAAAAATTGCAAATCTGCACATAATCACAAAATAAATTAGTCTTCCCAGGTTAGCTGCTGCTGCGCAACAGGTGTAAGGGACATGAGGAAATATTACATGTTCGTTAATATTGGAAAATTGACAGCACATTATGAATTTTGCCCTACACACCTGCACACATCAGCTCTGTGTGGCCTGAACTGCTAGACACAACAGGGGGAACTGCCTCCAAAGAGTCTGTATTTTCTCCCTTCACGCAGGTGGGCAGAGCCTTGCTCAAGTGAGTCGGGGTCAAGGTTTGTTCCTGGGGCAGTGTAGATTCATACCACCCCTTTCATAAGACAGATATATTAATATCTTGGTATAGCCTTAAACTATTTTCCCTGTCAGGTGTATATACGATATATGAAATTCCTATTGTTATTAAACCTAATTCGCCCAGGAAATACCCATCCTGAGAGTCATTCCAATTTTGACTTGACACAGCACAGGTTTCAAAGCTATCTTTTATCCAGAAACAAATAAGAGGTTCCAATAAAGATCGGGGGGGAGGGGGGGGTATCCTTGTTTTTAGACAAAATACAAAATGTTTATTCAGAAGAAAGAAAAAAGGAAATGAAACACAAATGGTGCTTGTCTGAATTCGACCCTGCTGGAGCACCGGTTACTTCATACAGCTGGGGTGGGCTGGGCTGTGCAGCCAACGTCAACACAGATGGAATCCATTGCTGAATTAACCAGGCCCTCCTTTCTGAAACGCATTTTGCAGTGCTTGCCATAACAAAGTTGAAGACAATTATAAAAAAGATTTTTAAAAAAATATATATTAGGAGAAACAGAAACATCCAACATTAAATACTTTCTGATTAAAGCAAGGATGCTTTAATATTGAAAGAAAATCCAACTGATTAAATACAAAATAAAAATACCTCACTCAAATCTGTACCATAAACGGCTACATCTTTTGGGAGCTATGGAATACATAAGAGTTTGAACATCAAGAAATGTAAAAAGTACATCTGAGCATTCTGCTATTACTTACTACTATTTACAGTGCTTTAATTTTTTTACTCTTGCTAGTTGTATTGTTTAATTCTTTCAACTTGGCAATTTTTTAGTGGAAGAATTTTGATGAAGTTATGAATTATGAACTGAAAAATAATTCTTTATTTTCATTACTGTACCTGAAAAATAAAAAGGCCATAAAACTCACAATACTATTTACATATTCTATAAAAGGATTAAATCTCAAAAAACCCTAGAACGTGTAGTTTAAGTGGTATCAGGAGGAAAGACCTGGCAACCTGAAAAGAAGGCATTAGCACGAATTCCTACTTTTTTTTTTTTACGACAGGCCACAGGGAAGAAAACGAGAGACTGCTGCCTTTCAAGACAAATAACCTTGCTCAAACACAGAAATAAGAACTGAGTTAGAAAAAAAAATACCATTGTTTTATCTCATTGGAGGAAAAGGGACAAAGATGAGCGAGATATTGTTGCCCAGAATAATACCAGTAATACTGAAACAATACTGATAAAGGTGTTTGTCAGGTGCTGGGTCTGAGACCAAATGAGAGATGCTTTATTTGAAATGAAGGAGCAGACAGGGTGATAATTACACTACAAAGTTGAGATCTCTGAAAGACTGGATTGTGCACGGGATGCCCAACTCCAGTTTACAGGAGGGATTGTTGAGAGAAAGAAACAAGTATCTCCAATAGTAAGCAATATTTACCTGGATAGTAAAACTCATTATTCTACTGGACTCTATGAAATAGACTTAGTGGAAATATTAATTTTATGGCATATTACGGTCTTCCCCTCCCCTTGCCCCTCTGTGTTCCACAGACCACAAATAAACTCTTTCTTTCTTTGTCCTAGGAGATAAAATACTTTATTTCCCCCTTTGTCCAAGGGTTCCTATCTTCTGTCCTACGAAGATAGGCCATAACTTTTTTTTTAGAGATAGTCTAGCTGATATCTGCTGGCAATATGGAAGTATATAGTGTGGAAAGCAGTATGAAAGACAGAGGAAAATAAATGTCATCATATAGGGGCCTGAGGATATAAAATCACTTTACACCCCAACGAAGACTTACACTATGTACTAAATAGAAAGAAACACCTCCCTTTATGCAATGATTTAGGACGTGGAGATTTCCAGTGCAAAGCAGTGACTTTAGCAGAGAATGTCAGTACACTCGTGCTGCAGGCAAAGGCTGCCAGCAATTCAAGGGCCATGCTCGCACATGTGTTATTAGATCAACCACCAATTTGGATCCAGCCGGACTGTGGAGCCAGCTGCTACATAACCCCCTGAAAGCAGCAACATGAGACTGGAAAAGTGGTCACACATTGGTGATGCACAATATAGCTATTCAGAAGCCAGCAGGCAAATGTGGGCTGTCAAGAAGAAACCTTGACACATGCACATACCATTTGCTTTGGAGCAAGCTTAGACCTGACTTCTGTACAACCTCACCGTATCCTCAGCCTGGAGTGGGAAGAGTGCTCACACATTTATGATCCCTCTCCCCACACGGAAAAAAAATGGATGTCCAGAAAGCAAGGAGAATCAACAAACTGAGTACCAATATACTTGGCAAAATTACTGACTGTACATTTCAACCAGGCTTCATCATACCACTGTAAAGGCGGGAAATCGGGCACCAGTACTTGTGACACACTTGGTATGAAAGCCTTCAGATAAACTCAAAATCGCTAAGGCACTAAAAAGAAATCACCATTTATTGCCAGCTATTGAGGACCTGCATGGACATTGGATTTATTCAGGACAAAAGTGCTGACTATATGGGATGTTAAGACCACATTGAGCTGTGTAGGAGTGAAATATTAGCCTGAACATAGACAAGCAGAAGCTGAGAAGAATTCTTCATTTGACCTCAGCTCCGTATTCCAAAGTTATAAATTTCTCAGCTTGTCAGCTGGACCCTACAAAACTGGGAGCCAAATAATGTGAAAGAAGTCTAACAACTTCTCTTTTCAGCTTCTGAGCACATCTGACAAAAGACAGCAAACCATCCAGCCAGACACCAAACTCAGCTTTTTGGAACAGAGTAACCCTGTCAGTCCTGCCACAAGGTGCGTAACACGGCTGCATGACAGGCTGGTGGTATAGTCCCACCCAACCACCACTGAGTGTACCCAAGCAATTACAGCACATGCCTCTGGGACACCGGTGCTACCAGGAAAAAAACAAACGGAATT